TCACTATTCCATGGAAAAAGATGATCACATGTACACTATTTTGTTTATTTTTACCTCCTAGGAGGTCCCTAGGATTCCTTCTGAATCCTTTTGAAATCCTGTGAAACCTTTTTACAACTTTTTAAAAAAAATATTTATCCATTTATGCATACAAGAACTGGGGTGTAGACCAGAGGTGCGGTGGGGAGGGGTGAGAGGATTCACCAGAGAGTGGGGAGCAGAACAGGCAGATGTACTGAAATACACTGCTGAGGGGAGCAGCGGGCAAGACAGGAGAGCTCTACTGTGCCATGTGGGTAGCTCCCCAGCCAGCTGGGGTTTGAACTCATGCTGCAGTGTCTGGTGATAGCTTGATAGTGCTTTGTCTTTCACCCCTGCACCACGAGGGAGGCCCACTTTTTTTTTTTCAAGTGGACTGAACATCTGTCTTGAGAGGAAGGGCTGTAAATACAGGATAAGCATAACCTTTCCTCTGTCTTTCTAATAACCTGATCCTCATAACATTTCTTACTCTTTTATCCCCTAGGAACCAACTTCTCACAAAGGAAGAGCAGAGCTTATGATGTATCCCTATACTTTCAAACAAAGATTTTTGTAATCTTTTTCTCCTGAAGCAGAAAACCTTTTCCTCAATTTGACGTGTAGTGCAACATATCCATATGAATTTCTGGCTCTAGTAGCAAGAAAGGCCAGGTGAGTAATTTCTCAGACTCATCCCTCTGTATGAATTGCTGAGGAATACATCAACCTCAAAGAAACACATGCTCTTGCCTTTCTCTTCATGAACTCTTTGAAATTGTTGTATAAGGATATTATAGGCTTTAAATAGATGAAAAGTTACTGCTATTGGGTGGTGTTATTAAGGGAGTTCTTAAATTTGTAAAATACTATCCTTCTTTAAGTTGAGGTGACTTAGAACACCACGGAGACCTCCTAGGATTCCTTGTGAACCTTTTGCTTTACAACTTTTTTTCCCCAACTTTTGCAAAGTGGTGTGAGGGTGATGTTGACTTGCTAAATTGCTGTGGAAGATGTTTTTATGTTCAGTACATCTTGTACTTGTTGTCTGCATCACTAAAGCATGCAACTTGAACCACTGCATTGCTGAATCAAGAGTTGTATGGCTAGAGTTTATGTAATGGTAAGTTGGAACAACTGTGGATTGCTTGTTAGAACTGGATTGCATTGAAACTATTCCCTAGACACCTGTAATTTAAATCTCCCTGACAAACTGCTCCTTTAAACAAGAGACTGAAGCACTGATTTATGAAAATAGAAGTGAGTTTTGCATTTTGTCAAATGTCTTTTCTGTAGCTATTGAAAAGATCTTTTTTTAAAAGCACATATTAAAAACCTGCCCAAAGTACGAATTCAAACAAATTTATGCTTCTTCAGTCTGTCCCCTACACATAATCACCTATCATCATTATAGTGCTATGTGGCTTTTGCAAGAGACCACCATCTGGCTAGGAAGTGACAGACACTATGCTCAGATAAAAAGCTGACTTGGAAGCTCCTGAGTTTTAACCAGCACCATGGTGCTCAGAGACTAGCTGAATATAAACTCTTGTAACAATGTGTTTAATTTTTTCTCTTTATTTTTATAGATAAAATGCAGTATATATATTATGCTTAACAACAAAAGCTGATGAGACAAAAGAATAATGACTTCTGAGAGGGGCAACAACAAAAAACATTGGCCTTTCTAGCCATAGATGATTTCTCAATCAAATCACATAGTTTTTTAAAGTTGGAATATATCTGCAAGAAAAAAATATTTTTAAATTAAGATATGTGTGTAAAACTGTGGAAAATGCTTGAAAGAAACATTTTATCCATGTCATATTATTTTTTATTAAGTGACATATTTATGGAAACAGTTGAAAATTCTTGTCAGTAAATAGGAACTATTCAATTCCATAACATATACATTTTCAATCCTGTAATACATCTGTGAACAAGAGGTGAAATATGTTGATAATGAAAAGGAACATTTTAATTACATGCTACTTTTCAGTCAAGTGCAGTATGGGGAAAGCAGTTGAAAAAGGCCTAAACAAAGAGATGAATATTAATTCCTACACTTGAAAACCTACATCTAACACAGTTATCAACACAAAGACCAATAGACACAAATTCTCTGAGTATACCATAGATTATAGTTAAGAGCGTTTTTGGTTTTAAAGCTTTGCTAAAAATATTTTACATCATTAAATGTATATTATTAAATATACATTGAAAGCTAACTGAAGTGACTTAAATAATGACTCAGGGACAGTTTGTAACAAAATTGTTAAAGTCCATTAATTTTTTTTTTCCCAAGAAAGGCAAGTGAGGTAGTTTATACTGTATATACATTGTAGACAAATTAATCTTCCAGTATGCTCAAAGATCATTGATTGCAAGAATCATTATCACCAAGTGAGCTGCTTTACAAAGGGATCCTCTTTTGCAGAATGGAGGAAATGAGTCTGCTTTAAGGTTATTTTCTGAATAAGTGTTCCTAAAACATTAACTTTCTCTAATACTTTCCTGGATAGTATTTTCCTAACTGTATACAGAGCACTTAGGGTGAGCTGGGAGGGGAAAGCCATTAAAAATAGAATTAGAAGTCCAGTATCTGACTCTGCTTTTGCTTGCAAATATACTAATCACCTTTACACATTACTGTAACTATTTTAAAACAACTCCTGGTAAGACAAAGATGTTTTTCAATACTTAGGTGGCAGGAATTGTTGAATTTCAATTGTATGATTTTTTTTATTCCTTAAGAATAAGCTCATTTAAAGGACCTCTTCATACAAAAATTAGCCTGTGTCTACTGGATATTCTTCTCCAATCAGTTATCCCATGAATAAGAATAAAAGTTACATTGAGTTATATCAGCATGACATGGCATTTCATATTAGTTATTTGAAAGTTGTCACACATTTGAATACATTGACATCATTAAGGCTATTGATTCAGCTAAGGCTTTGACATCTAAAACCATACAAAAGTGGATAAGAAATTCAGAAATTCCTTTACCTGTCATCTATTAAGCATTTTCAAAATCTGAGAACAAGTGGAGTAAACCTTAAAACCTTTACAACTTATGTATATGATCTAGTGTGTTTTAAGTTAAAAAGAAATGAAATTCCCCCCCCCAAATGGAATGAATAGACCTGTGAATTTTCTGTATAAATCAATAAAACTTACATATTCTAATGGTAGGAACGACAATGAGCAAAAGCTGTCACTGTTTCATATGTACAAAGAAGTGAAAGGGGGCTAATTTGAAGAATTCTTTTCTATGTGTGTAGGCATAAATTACTGATATCTTATATCTTGGAATTTAGCAACACTGAAAGGAAGATGTTTAGTCCCACTGTTTGAATTGCAAAAAAACAATAAAAACATTTTTTGCAGATTTTTGAAATTGATTATGGAATCTCACGTATCATCAATAGGCCATACATTGAAAACTAATGAAAAGAACAAAAAAAACCTATAGAACATGTTTATCTTCTAATGGGCTTTTAGGCAAAGGAAATAAAAATTCTCAAATTAAATGAATATTTGCATTTTCTATAAAATAAAACAAAATGGCCAGAAATGTAATTATCTTTGTTGGATATAAGTAATGTTTTTATGAACATCAATACATAATGTACTATATAAAAGATTTCTTAAAAAAAAAAGACAAAAAGTTTTCTTGTGATTTATTTCGTCTACTGCTTGAATTGTAAGGGAGTCATTTGGGTGTTAAATCTCATTAAAACTGATATGAATTCATCAAAATCTCAATCTGTGGGTTCTACTCCAAAGTACAAGTGTGGGATAAATGAGATGTCTGTTCCCATTTGTATCTCTCCTTAGAAGGACTATACCTGCAGTCTCAAGATGAAAGGCAGTGCTCTATAACCCTATGGCATATTTTAGTTTGCTTTCAATTAGAATCATGAAGAACTGCATGTTCTGGCCAATTGCAGGTCTGCAAAATGGCTCCACAGGATCTTGATAGGGAGCTGGCTTTTTGCTAACCGAACAGGCATCTGATTTCATAGCCTGAAGCTAATCCACAAAGCTTGGCTATATCTATGATTGATGAACAGCAGCAAAATCTGCTTTCACAACATATAAAATCTGGATATAGCAATATTTTCCAGCATTCTTGGATAAAGAGTACTTGGACAAAGCCAGTATTTTTAAATTGAGGTTGCAGAAGTAACTATGTACAGTTGTGAAATATAAAAAACGATATGTTTCATCAGGAAAGGAAATCTGTGCCTGGAACATGGAAAGCTATTCATAAGCACCATAATTATGATGAGAAAAAAGAGGTTCTGTGATGATTGACCACAAAGAAGGTTATGAAAGCCTACGAACAAACTTTGTCAAACTAAATTTAGTTACGCTCATCAGAGAATAAGCTTTACAAATATCAATTTCCAATAGTCCACAATAGAAAAATGTTCATTTGCCCCAGAATACTGATAGTCATGGTATAGTATGACACATACAGTACAGTGCTCATTAAACAAAAGTTCCTTTTCCTTCAGTTCAGGAGCAAATCAGAGCATAAATATTATAACTTTTTAGAAACTGATTCCCTTTGGAAAGTAGATTTGAATTATTCTTCAGAGAGAAATTATTGGTTTCTGGCATTTTTGTTCAAAAAAGTCAATATATATGTATAAGATAAGTAAGTAAAAAAGAGTCTTCCACTTCTTGTGTCTGGTAGCATTTGTTACATAAAGAAGTGTTTCTTTATCTCCAGGCTTGGATCAAGTTTATTTCTGCTATGAAGTCAAAATACTCAAAATTATTGTAGGTCTATTTTCTAGACTGGCCTTTCTTCTGGAAGGATCAAATCTTTCCTTCACTCTTATCAAGGTACTGTCATGAGAAAGCATCAGCTCAAATGGCCAACCAGCTCGGCTTCCACAGCTCATGTTGACAATGCCAGGAGTCCCCACTTGGGTGATAAACATCAAGAGGGTTAGGAGGGAACAAACACGTCAAAAGCAGTCTTCTTTTTCCCTACCAAATGGAGGCTCTTCTTGACATATAATGCATGACAGCTGTCATCATGGCAGGTATTTCAAAAATTTGGTTGGGGTTTAATCACCCATTCTGCTTGAGGATTTACATGATATACATCCAATATATATGCATCTGGGTCCAAGCAATGCTGCCCTAAAAGAATGAGAAAATCAGAGAACATTTTCAAGAGTGCATACTTCTGTGCATACGTGTATGTGTGTGTTTATAAGTTCAAGCATGGCCAACCAGTTCTCTCAGCCAAAATTAAGTAGAAACATTTTAAATTTCCTTAGGAAAGATGCCAGGCTTGCTTCCTCTCTCTCTCCCTCCCTCCCACTCTCTCTCCCTCTCTCCTTTCTTCATATTTTTCTGTGAAGGACTTCAAATACAGCCTATGTGAAATTTTAGGGGAAAAAAATAAACCCAGACATTCCAACCACAAGAAAATTGCTCACTGTACTTACTACATCAATTAGAAAAAATATGACAAGAACTTGTTTTGGGTACAAACTGATCACTTACATAATAATACATGTTCTTGAATGGTTTTAACTGACCAGGATTAGAGAAAATTTAAATGGGTCATTTCATTTCTTTATCATGGGTGGGTGCAATGCCCATATGCAAGAGATCTAGAAATGATAACAAAAAGGTCATTCTATGGGGCAAAAATATATCAAAACCTCTATGTTTGGTGTGTTGGAAAAGTATATCAAAGTCTCATAACTACTTAGGTTTAATTGTTCAAATATGTATTGAGTCATTCTGGGGGGTAGGGCAATAGATACACATTAGATAGTCAAAACTACTTGCTCTCTTGGGTGCTTTCTAAGGTAGTAAAAGGCAACTAGGAAATAAATGAGTATAATATAAAACAAGTCCGCTTATGATAAGAACATTAAAGAACAAAAGAGAGGGTATGATCCAGGAAGATCTCATGAGAAGGTGATTTAGTACCAAAGACCTAAAAGAGATCAGGAAATGAGAGAGGTCCAACTGAAGGACAACAGCCCTAGCAATGCAAAGGCCACCAGGCAAAATGTGCCAAGTGACTGGATATACAAGGTTGGTATTTGTGGGCCAGTATGGATGTAAATTTGAGCAGCATCAACAAACAGGTATATTTAAAGTCATGAAGAGGATTGAGCTCACCAGGGAAGTTAGGTGTAGACAGATAGGAGTTATGAGGACTGAACAGTATAGCTCTCCAATGTAAAGAGTTTGAAATGATGAGAAATAACAGGCAAAAAAGACTTAGAAGGAGCAGCCAGTGAAGTGGGGAGAAAGCCAGAAGTTTAGGTTGCCCTTGAAACCAGGTGAAGAAAGCATTTCTTAAAGAAGAGAATGATCAACTCAAGCAGTTATAAAGACAGAATGAATGATAGGATTTCACAACATAAGAGTCCTCTGGTGACCATGATAAGAGCAATTTTGGTCAAGTGTTGAGGGATAAGCTTGACCAAAGTGGTTTCAAGAGAGGACAAGAGGAAGAAATTGGAACCTAGACAACTGATTCAAGGAGTTTTTGCTGTAAAGTGGAACAGAGGAATGAGAGTAGACAGAGAAATAACCAAAATTGTTTATGCAGATAGAAATTATGCAGTTGAGAGGAAAAAAGTGGATGATTCAGGAGGGAATGGGCAGTGACTGGAGCAAAGTCACGATTAGGCGGGGGGACAGGAAGGAGGCACTGGTATTTCATTCATCAGGAAGATAAGGAGCAGAGGAAATTTTCCTTTGATTTCCTAGTTTATTCACCTCAGGAAAATAGGAAGAATGAACTTGGGCTGAGAGTGAAAACAGACAAGTTGAACAAAAAGGGTGTCCTGATTCTGAAAGTTCTTTTGATGTTCTCTTGTTTGTTTTTCATGAGTCTCCAGAGTTTCCAACTTTGAGTCATATTTAAAAGACCCCAAAGGCCACCCCATACCAATGAAAATATTCACACTTAAATTTTCAAAAATAAATATAAAATTTGTATCTAAGAAACTTATAAAATATACTTTTATAATGATAGCAACATATTTCTTTTAGAGTAATCAGAATTTAGGAGTAAAATAAAGAAAGCTTACCTATATTTCCTCCAATCTCATATAACCTTTGGTTCTGAATTTTAATGCATTCCAGTGAACCATGACTGAAAAAGGGAGAAAGTGATATAATTTTAAGCCTTCTTCATGATCTGAGGTAACTCTGTAGATTAAACAGCCATGGTCACAAAGCATTTTGCCTTAAGTGAAATATACCCCACAAATCATTACTGCAGTTATAATAAAAACTGAAGTTATAATAAAAACAATTTCTTCCCTGCTGGATGCAGTAAAGCATCCAAGGCTCAGAGAATATGGGGCTATTTCAAATCAAGGACTCTATAGTGCTCTATAGCAGCACAAAGTCCATTCTAAACACAACTGTGAGTTCCATTTTAGGTAGGAAAATGTTACTGACACATCAAGGCTGGCCAAGGACCAGCTGGCTGTTTAATATTGCCTCATCATTGGTCACATTACTTTCAGTTCAAAAGAAGTTGAATTTCATTTCTGTATTTGCCAAATATGTAATGGGATTCTCTCCTCAGTCCATGTCACATTTCTAAGCTTGCCTACTGCTTTACAAACTGTCCAATGTTGATTTCATTGCTTGTCTCTGCCATGTAATAAAAACAAATCAGAGGAAATAATTGCTGAATTTACTTTCCCACCCCAAACTAGACTGCCCTAATAGAAGGATTTAGAGAAAGACAATTACTGATCTTTACTGCACTTCAGTAATGACTTTGAGTTTGGTTACTTCAAAATCATTCAGTTCTCTATTGTGAGGAATAGGGCTGTGTATTCTTTTTGTTGTTTGTTTAATTAAACTTTCTATTGCAGGTTTTCAAGAAGTTGTAAAAATTTACACAGACAGATCCCCTGCAATGTTTATCTAGTTTCCACATAGTATCTTGCAAAACTTAGTGCAGTATCATAACCAGATGGATGTCAATGATTCGGTCAAGAGAGAGACAGTTTCCATCACCATAAAATCCCATGTTCCCCTTATATAGTCACACTCACCACGCTCCTCTTTCCCCATGCCTACCCCCATTCTTTATCCATGGCTACCACTGCTCTATTCCACATTTCTATACATTTTTCATTTAAAAATTGTTATATAATTTGAAATACACAGGATGGAATTTTTTTTTCAATCAGTGTAAATCCCTGGAGATTCATAAAAGTTTCTACATTTTTTTATTGCTATGTAGCATGCCATACTCTGGACTTTTTTTTTTAGTTATTACTTGTTGAAAAACATCTGGGTTTTCCAGTTATTAATTACTATAAAGAAAGCTGCTATAAGCATTTGTGTATAGTTTTTGTGTGAATACATCTTCATTTCTTTTGAATAAAGGTTTAGGAATGTGAATGTGGGGGTCACATGATAGTTACATGTTTAGTTTTATGAGACTCTCAAGTTAATTTAGAATGATGACACAGCACAATTTTACAGTTTCACCTGCAATACATGAGTGACATTTTCTTGGCATCATTCCCAGCATTTGGTGTCATCACTATTTTTTTATTTTGGCTATTTTTATAGGTGTTTAATAATATTTCATTGTGGCTTTTCAAACATCTCTTCAATGGCTAAAGATAGTACCTGTCATGTGCATATTTGTCATCTACATATCTTCCATGAAATGTCTTTTATGTATTTTGTTCATTTCCATATTGGATTGTTTATTGCAGAGTTGTGGTGTTTTTAATATATTTTAGATATTACTTCTTTTTTTAATCTGTGGTTTATAATTATTTTACCTTATGTTTTTCATAGGCTCTATCAGTGTCTAAGTTTTAAAATTTGTTATTTAATTATTTTTAAATTTTTATCTCTTCTAGGTCAGGATTTTGATGTCAAAGTTCAGAACTCTTCATTAGTCCCATGTCATAAAGATGTTTTTCCTGTGTTATTCTTTTAAAGTTTCATCATTTTACATTTTACAGTTAAATCTGTGATACTTTTGAGGGTTATTTTTATATAAAATGTGAGGTTGAGATTAAGTTTTTTGTTTTTATTTTTGCCTATGGATATACAGTAGAACCATTTGATAAAAACACTATCCTTTCTTTATGGAATTACTTTTGTACTTTTGCTAAAATCAATTATTAAAATAGTCAAATTCATAGAGACAGAATGTAGGACAGCAGTTACACCAGTGACTGTGGACAGGCAGAAAGGGAGTTAATGTTTAATGAGTAGAGTCTCAGTATGGGAAAATTGTGCTGGAGATGGATGGCAATGATGATTGCAGAACAACGTGAATGTACATAATGCCACTGAATTGTATACTTCAGATGGTTACAATGGTAAACTGTATGCTACATGTGCTTAATAATATTTTTTTTAAAAATCAGTTGGGCATAACTATGAATATATTTTTGGATTCTCTATTTTGTTCTATTAACCTAATTTTCTACCCCTCTACCACCAATCATACTTCCTTGATTCCTACAGCAAGTTGGACTCAATATCTAGTAAAGTGATCCCTCCTAGTTTATATCTTCTTGAAGAGTGTTTTAGCTCTTCTAGGACCTGTGCTTTCCATACAATTTTTGGAATAAGCTTGTGCACATTTACAAAATAACTTACTGGGATTTTGACAGAAATTACATTAAACCCATAGATCAATTTGGGAAGAATTAATCAACATCTTTACTGTGCTGTATTTTCCAATCCACAAAAATGGTATGGTATATATCTACTTTTACTTAGGCCTTCACTTATTTCTTTCATCAGTATTTTGCAATTTTTAGCATATAAATCCTGTAAATATTTACTGAAGTATTTCTACATGTTCCAATCTGACTGATTTTTGTGTAATCTTGCATTCTGTGACAGTGATGAGTTTACTGATATAACTACAAAACTATAGTATAATGTGACAGTCAGGATATTGACACTGATATGATTCACCCATCTTATTCACATATCCCATTTTACTTGTATTCATTTACCTTTTACAACCACATCCACCTCCCTATGGAAACAACCCTTTCCCAACCTCTGGCAACCACTAATCTATCTTCCACTTCTAAAATTTTGTCATTTTAATATGTTATATAAATGGAATCTTGTAAAATGCAATCTTTGAAATATGTTTTTTCTGCTAAACATGGCTACTCCTTTTTCGTATTACTGGCAAGCTCCTATTTAAGGATATCCATCAGAGATTTACTAGAGACCACCAAATTGTACCTGCTTGCTGATGGATAGACTCAACTAGTGCTTCTTTCATCTTTTAAAAACCTCACAGCAAATGTTTATCCTCAAGGGAGCATGCCTAGATAAAAATTATTATGATTTATGCTCTTTAAGGTGATTTATGACAGATAAACAAAGAGATTTTGTAAATGTCATTCTCATTGCAAGATTTATTAGTAGCCTGTTTTAAGAAAGAGCTAAAATGTCCATTTAACTTACATTAACTCTGTCTGAAAAAGGCATGTTAATGTTTAATAGAGCATGGAATAATAGTATTCCTGGAATCTATCAAGACATTTGCAAAACTACCTTGCTGTATTTTTTATTCTAATAAAAAGTAAAACTCAAGTAAATTAAGCCACCAAGACAGGAAACAACTATTAAGAACCCATGTATGCTCTGGCCTGTACCCCAGTTCTTGTATGCATAAATACATTTTTAAAAAATCAAAAAAAAAAAAAAAAAAAAAAAGAACCCATGTATGGAAATTTCTTAAAAATACACTTGTGTTACTGATTGTTCTATAGTTTATTAAATTATTTTGCCTTTTCATCTACTGGTGAAGGTTCTGATTTTTCAAAAAGGCCAAACTGCAAATGCCTGGAAAGTTATTCATTTGATAAAAGTTCATCTTCCTTGTATAAAAACCTAGACACAAATTTACTCACCTGTTTTCATATTGAAATTTTGCTAGTATGTCCTTGGCTTTCGTTTGACTATTGAGTTGAATGGCCATGGACACCTTGGAGAGAAGTGGAGCATGGACCCGTATGACTCCTTCGGGCACGTCAGACTGGCAATGAGGAAAAATTCAGTACATTGTATCAAACTAGTCATGATTACACATAAGACAGATGGAAATGAGTGGCACTCTGAATAGAAAAATATGTAAACATGACCAGATTTTAACCAAAATAAAGCACTGCCTCTTCTTAAGGGAGTTTCACTAGTGACTCAACTTACCCCGGGACTTCACTATCACCACAAGCTAAGGTCCTGCTATATAGTAATGTCTTAATACCATGACACAGACAAAACAAAAACCGAACATTTCTATCAGCACATTTCCTTGAACAATATCTTAAAGAAGCCTACTTTAAGCTTTCTGTATTTCATTGTTGAAAAGGTCAACCTTCTCTAAAGGATCAAGTAGGAAATATGACTTTTTAAATATCCTTTTCTTCAGTCAGCAACAATGACAGGCCAGGCCCAAATTAATTCTATAAGGGCACTTGAAATTTGAGCCTTTCAGAGTGTGCTCATGACCCTGTGAAGAGCAGAGTGGCTCTGCTTTCATATGATGTCCTGATTGATCTGGGTACTCAGGAGCACTTACGTAAATAAAATATTCAAAGGATACTGTGTAAATTACATAAATTTCTGTTTTGTCAAGATCAACTGGAAGATTCATTTTATTTATTTATTTATTTGTTTGTTTGTTTATTTATTTATTTATACAAGCACTGGGTACAGTCAGAAGCGTGGGAGGGTGAGAGAATTCACCAGAGCCAGAGGAGGGAACAGGATGAAATACACTGCTGAGGGGAGCAGCGGGCGAGGCAAAAGAGGTCTGTTGTGCCATGCCGGTCCCTCACCAGCGGCCAGGGATAAAACTGGTGCTGCAGAGGCTGCAGGCAGCTGTGCAGCTCAGCGCTCTACCACTGCACCACCACCAGGGGAGTCCCCTAAATAAACATTTTAATCTCAGATTTCCAGCATTCAAAACTGTGAGAAAATAAATTTCTACTGCTTTAAATCACCCAGTTTATGGTATTTTGTTAAGGCAACACTAAGAAACTAAAGCAAAATTAAAAAAAATAATAGGGACAATTTTTAAAGTACTTTTCTGATAATACTACAAAGAACCTGGAGAATGTTTCAGGGAATGGATATGAAGTATGTAAACTTGGGAGGGAGCAGAGTACCCCTGGTTTATGTCAGAGGGAGGGAGGGAGGGAGGAGCACTTGGGACTGTGGTGATAGTGCACAGGTGAATTGGTGGAGGAAATTCTATGAGGACTACACCTGAGCGGGTGTGGGGGGAAGCAAATTTTGTTTAAAAATGAACAATGATGTAAAATATAAAAATAAATTTAAAAAAGACTGTACTCCTAAAACACTCAGTCATCTCATGTCCCTCTACTTCCAGCTCCTCAGAGGCCTCTATAAAATTACCACACTTCTGAAACTGTATGATCACAATAATCACTTCCTGTAATTTTCTATAGTATTCACACTGTTACAAAATGCCTAAACAGACAATGGAGTCATCAGTTAGTTGATTACCTGTAATATTCCATCACGTGTATCAACTTTGAAGGATATATCATGGCCAAAACTATATGTGACTGTGGGGTATATATAGTTAGAAAATACTAATGTAGGTAGTTAGTATTAGGGAAGAAAGAAATTACTTGTTTTCTTACCATTCTTCTTGAAGAGGGTGATTTTTGTAGTACCTTTGAAGTCTTGGGGCTTGTAACCTAAATAAAACACATTTAGATTTCAGAATTAATGTTGGAAAAAGTAAATGCTGCTGTTGGAGGTATATACTGGTACAATCTTTATGGAAGACTTTTGGCAATATTTACCAAATTGTAAGATGTTTATGTTCTTTGACCCAACAATTCCATGTCTACAAATTTATCCTTCACATATACTCATTTGTGAGAAATGACATATGATTTTATATCTTGAGCAACAGGAGTTATCCCAAGAATGTAGGGTTAGTTCAACATTTAAAAACCAATCAGTGTAATATACCATATCAAATGGCATCCCAATGATCATCTCAACAGATAGAGAAAAAAGCATTGGGCAAAATTCCCCGTACTTTCATGACAAAAATACCCAACAATCTAAGATTATGAGGAATTTTCTTAAACTGATAAGTGGGATTTATGAAAAACTCAGCTATAACTATAATGGTAAAAGATTGAAAGCACCTCCCTTAAGATCAGGAACAACACAGCAATCTCTGCCCTTTCCTTCTTATTTATTATTCTATTAAAAGTTCTAGTCAGGACAATTAAATGAACAACAACAACAACAAAATAAAAGGCATTCAGATTGGAAAGGAAGAGGGAAAATTCTTAGTCATAGATAACATGACTTTCTACATAGAAAATCCAAAGTTATCTATACATATAAAACTAAACTTTTAAAATAAGTAAGTCTAGGGCCTCCCTGGTGGCGCAGCGGTTGAGCCTGGGCTGCGAAGCTGCCCGCAGCCTCTGCAGCGCCAGTTTGATCCCTGGCTGCAACCCCGCTGCTCCCCGCCACCAGAGGAGGGTCCCACATGGTGCGCAGACCTCTCCTGCTGCTCGCTGCTCCCCTCAGCAGTGTTCTTCGGTCCTTCTGCCTGCTCTGCTCCCCGCTCTGGCTCTGGTGAATTCTCTCACCCTCCCACGCTTCTGACTGTACCCAGTGCATGTATAAATAAATAAATAAATCTTAAAAAAAAAAAAAGAAAAAGAAGTATCTTCTTAAAAAAAATAAGTAAGTCTAGCAAAATTACAGGATACAAGGTTAATATATAAAACCCAGTTGTATTTCCACATACTAACAACCATCTAAAATTAACTTAAGAAAATTCCATTTAAAATAGTATCAAAAAGAAAAAAAAATACTTAGGAATAAATGCAATCAAGGAATTGTAAGATTTGTACACTGAAAACTATAAAACATTGAATTAAATTATAGAAAAACTAAATAAATGTTAAGATAACCCATTTTCATGAACTGGAAAACCTAATATTGTTAGGATGACAATACTTTCTAAAACACCTACATATTCAATGCCATCCCATTCAAGATTCCTACTACCCTTTCTTTCTTTCTGTTTTTTGTTTTTTGGGTTTTTTTTTAGCAGAAATGGGAACAGTTGATCCTAAAATTTATGTAGAAATTCAGTAATTCCAAATAAGCAATGTTTTGGGGGAAAATTTAAAGGGCTCACATTTTTCAGTTTTAAAACTTACAACAAATATACAGTTATCTGCCGTTATGGCAAAAGGATAGCTATACATATCAGTGGAACAAAATTAAGAGTCTAGAACAAAAATTATACATCTATGGCCTATACTTTTTTTTATGAGTGCCAAGTTTTTCATAGCTCTTACTTGCCATTGCGGAAAGAGTAGATTTTTCAGTAAACGGTATAAGGAAAATCACATGCAAAAGAATGAACTTGCACAAGAAAAAGACATAAGGTTAAGTCTTCATGATCTTGGAATTGACAAAAAATTCTTAGATATGACAACAAAGGCATGATCGGCACAAGAAATAGTAGATTAATTATACTTCATCATAATTAAAAATCTTTGTGCATCAAAGGAAACAATCAAGAAATTGAAAAGACAATCTACAGGATGGAAGATTATTTATAAATCATACAGCTGATAAAGGACTTGTATCTAGAATATATGAAGAACTCTTACAACTTGATAAAAAGACAAATAACCCAATCAAAAATTGTCAGAAGATCTGGATAGACATTTCTTCAAAGAAGATATATAACTAGCCAATAAGCATAGTAAGGTTCTTCACATCATTTGTCATCAGGGAAATGCAAATCAAAATCACTTCATACTCATTAGGATAACTAGACTAAAAAATCTGGTAATTACAAATATTGAGAATATGGAGAAATTTGACTCCTCATATACTACTAGTAAAAATACAAAACGTATATACACAGCTATAAGAAAGGATAAAATGCAGCCATGTCCAACAAAATGGAGGGGATTTGAAAAAGTTATGACATAGCATATACCCAAAAGAACTGAAAACATATATATATACAGACATACATATACATACATGTATATATGTTTATACACACATATATACAAATTTGTACATGAAAGTTTATAGCAGCATTATTCACAGTAGCCAAAAAGTGTAAAAAAACACAAATCTAAGTCAAAGGCTAAGTGAATTAACAGTATGTGGTATAACATAAAATACTATGTTATTTGGCTATAACAAATAATCATTTATACTACAACTTGGAAAAAACATGAAATATAATGCTAAGTGAAATAAGCCAATCACAAAAGATCACATATTTATCATATTATTTCATTTATCAAAAGTCCAGAATAGGGAACTCTCAGAAACAAAGTAGATTAGTTGTTGCTTAGGGCTAGTGGGGAGAAATCAGGAAAGTAGTGTTACTGGAGGGATAACAACAAAGGGTATCGGTTTTTATTTCTTTTGAAGTGATGGAAATGTTCTAGAATTAATTGTTGATGGTTACAAATATATATGAATACATGAAAAATGACAACTGTATACTTCAATGGATAAATTGTATAACAAGGATTATACAGTCAAGTTGTTTTTAAAAAGATGGAGGCAAAAACGAAAAAGAAATGAAGTGCTGACATACTAGAACATGGATGAACCATGGAAACAGTATGCTAAGCAAAAGAGGGCAGACACAAAAGGCCACATATTGTATGATTCCATTTATACGAAATGCCCAAAAAAGGTAAATTCATAGAAACAAAAAGTATATTTGTGTTTTTCAGGGTCTGTGGAATGCAGAGTGCTTGACTGGTGTGCATTTTATTTTTAGGATAGTAAAATTATTCTGGAATTATATAGTGGTGATGGTTGCACATTATAAATATACTAAAACTATGTAAATATACTAAAACTATGTAAATGTACTAAAATAATGAAAAAGTTTGAAATAGTTAAAATTTTGAAATTTATATTATATGTATTTTTCTCTAAACAAATTAAAAATGTTTTCCGTCAATAAATGTCCTGATTCTACTTGATGCTTTTTGTGTCTATAATAAGAAAATACTGTCATTTATCATGACTGCAATAAGACAATGAGCAACCCCCACTTTACTGCTTTGGCATTTACCATTTCTTTTCCAGAATGAATTTTCCATTCCTTTCTGCATTTAAAATGCTATCCAGTCTTCAAGTTGTAACTCAAATGCCAATGTTGGAGCATATTTTTTTCTCCTCTGCATGATACTGACACATCGCCTGCAAAGGGCTCTGAAACTTAATGTATATTCATGGCCCTTGTATGCATTTCTCTCCCACATTTGGTTAAGTTTCTTTAAATGCAAAATGAATTTCATTATCTTCAAAGTCTGCTTAGGTCAAATGCTTTGACCCATACTCATGATTATCCTCAAATTAAGTTAAAGCAATAAAGACAATTGTTCTAAAACCTGTTTCTGTTACATACCTCCATTGAAAACAACTGGGCAAAAATTCTTCAGAATGCAGCAAATTTACACATAACCACTTGAGATAATTAGATACTATTTTATTATCCAACTACTAAAGAAAAATTTTCTCTTAGTATACTAGATACTGGATTGCCCCTAAATCCAGTTCACAGATGCTGAAGTGTTGACTTTCGGTTTTTGTAAGAACCATTTTAACCTTACGACCATTTATAAGAACAGAGTTTCCACAAGGTTAGGTCACAAGACTGCCCACTTACTTTGAGAAGAGAATATGTTTGGTTCTAAATTACAAGCTCCTTTGTACCTGACTTTGAAAAATAAAAACCTGGGTAGTTACAAAATTTATACCCTCCTTTATTGTTATTACCTCTCTTTCTAAGGTCTTCCTCCTTAGTAGCTTTTTGACACTTGGAAGCTGCTTCTTCAGCATCATTGTGGCCTCATTCATTCTTCTGACTTGAGTAATTAAGAAAGATGGAACCTGGAGAAGAAAAATAGCTTTACTAGAAGGAGAACACTAGAACAAAAGCACTCTAGGAGATTCTGTCCTCAGTTATGGTTTACTCCTTCTAGCTATTTAATGTCCGGGAACTAGGAACCATGGTATTTGTACTTGTAAAGATTAACAAAACAGCAACAATCCCGAGGGCTCTTCTTTAAAAGGAAAATAAAAGCTTATAATCTGCCTGGGAATAACCTGGGAATATCTCCTTCTTCCCTTTGACTTAAGGGTCCTACTTGTTCACAAAGACTTATAAGACATATGTTCCCTGGTTTGGTAGACTTCTAAGAAGAACACTGCAGTCATCACATTGTCACTTACCTTCCACAAAATCTTCTGGTACTTCAGCATTAATCGAATAATGTGGGCTGCGGTGTTTGCTAACAGTAATTCTTCATAATCAGAATGTTTGCTTCTACTGAAGAAAAGGTTTGGTGCCATTACAGTAGAAATGTTCCATATACTCATTCGGTTTTTTGACTCATTGGCAATCACTTTATTGAAGAATGTCATGAGGGCCTAACAAGAAACAGCATTGTTACAGTATTGTAAAACCTCAGAAGGTACCACTAAATTGCTCTCTCTCATACATTTCCATACCCTTTCAATGTGCCAGTAGTGTGGAATGCTTAAATATTTCCTGTTTAGTTGCTTAAAAGGGGTGAGGAAAGTGAATAGTTAATCCAATTCTATGCATCATAAAAGTAGCTACATTTTACTAACAGTTTGCATTTTGTTTTTTAAAAATCTTTTGTAAATTCACAAGTACTAAAATTAAATAGTGAACTAGAAGGAGAAAATGTTGCAGCTCAAATAAACATAAAATGCAATTCTGTTGTGAAGGAAGTAATATAATTCTAAAAAACAACCTTAATTTAAAGCATTAGTGTTGAAAACTACTTACTCTTTCTTTAGGAAAGGAAAACCCTTTTAAAAAATGAGTATCTCATTCCTCAGCCCAAATGTAAACTCAACTGAAAACTTTAAAATGTTTACTTTTTGAGTGTCATTTTTCTATTGTTTTTCAATTTTGGTATCTTTAGTAGAAATGCTTACATACAGCTGTTCTCAGCATTACAAATAAAATAAAAAAATGATCTGAGAAAGATTAGTGAAAGTTTAGCTGAGCCGCCAAAGTACAGAAGCTTATTAGAAACTTTTTAAATTTCACTAGAGGGTTGAAATCCTAAAAGGAGAGTCTCTTTGGTTTCTAATTTTGAATTCTATAATAGTATTTATAATGATGTAAAAAATAAAAAAATAAAAATACTGTACTATTAATTCAAAAGGATACCTGCACCCCTGTGTTTATTGTAGCACTATTTAAAAAAGGTAAGATATGGAAACAACCCACATGCCCCAAAATAGATGACTGGATCAGGAAGATGTGGTACATATACAGTGGACTACTACTCAGCAATCAAAAAAAATAAACTCATGACATTTGTAGCAACAGGGATGGAGCTGGAAGAGAGTATGCGCAGTGAAATAAACCAGAAGGAAGAAGAAAAATAACAGATGATTTTACTTATTACAGGAGGAACAGATGAGAACCAAATAAGGAATCAGGAAAATAATAATAATAAATAAATAAAGCAAAATTAACAGACATTCTGTAGGGGAAGGGGTGGGATCAAAACAGGGGTGGTAAGAGCACAAAGGACTATGGTGATGGTGCACTGGTGTTGGTGGTGGGGATTTTATAGGAAGTACACCTGAGAGGAAAAAGCATACACTGTACAAAAATGAACACTGATATAAAATATATATAATAAATTTTTAAAAATAAATATTACATTAAATATGAAAAAATATAGTATTTGTAATGAGAAATTGAGCAGCACATAATTGTAATAGCTAACCTTTATTTGAAGGCCCATTGCGAGCCAGGCATTCTTCTTAGTACTTAATAGATACAATCCATGCATTTTATCATCATTCCAAACCTCGGAATGTAGGTATTTCACAAACATTGTTTTACAGCTGAGTAAACTAAGGTGGTAAAGGATAAGTAATTTTGCTTAGTGTCAGTTAACTAAGTGGCAAGAGTTCAGAACTCTTGATTTCTACACTGTTCTAGCTTCAATATTAGTTTCAAACACAACTTAGAATGAAAAAATAAAAGTGTGTGTGTATGTGAACTCTTCATCATGGCTGTTTTTTTAGAATTTCCTATTAGAAGTGTATTGATAATAATAATTTCTGTTAGAAATTATATGACAATTGCTGCATCTTAGTTATATGAAAGAGTAGATGACATTTTGACCCAGATTTCTGGTATCACGTGCATTGTTTTTGTTGTTGTTGTTTTAAATCCCTTGGTCTTTTTTTTTTTTTTTAAGATTTATTTATTTATGCACACAAGACCTGGGGTACAGGCCAGGAGTGTGTGGGGGGGAGAGGATTCACCGGAGACAGAGTGGGGAACAGAACAGACAGATTGACTGAAGTACACTGCTGAGGGGAGCAGCCGGCAAGTCAGGAGAGGTTTGTTGCATCATGTGGGTTGCTCCCTGGCTGGCTGGGGATCGAACTCATGCTGCAGAGGCTGCAGACAGCTTCATAGGTTGTGTCTTAATCCCTTGCGCCAACAAGGAGGCCCACATGCATTGTTTTTTTGGGGAAAAAAAATAGCATTGTTCAGACGAAGCCAAAAAGCAAGCAAATATGTTCCTAGTTTTTGAAAAAAAGACCAAATTGCATTAGACACAGATATTCTTATGTCATAGCAAAATCCTACCTACATAGATGTTTTCACTATGTAGAAGGAAAAGTCCTCACCAAACTGACATTTCTTATAAGAAGTGGCACTAAGAATTATCTGTCTTCAGCATTATGTTTACTAACCTCAAAATTATAGGATCTTTTCAATTTTTTTTTTGTTTGTTTAGAGAAAGAAACAGTTTATTGAGGAGTAATGGAACAGACATAAAGTGGGATTCCCAGGCCAGTGGAACCAGGCCAGGGAGGGGCAAGGAAGCCCTTCTCTTCAATTCATTTTTAACTCAAATTCAGTTCAAAGATTCAACACCTGCTTATATTCTAATAAATTTCCTATTGTGTACAGAATCATGACCAAAATAGCAAAAGAAACTTTGACTTTTATTAATATAGAGAATATAAATGAATTTGAAGTAAAGGGAGAGAAGATTATTAGAATGTAGAACTATGGATATGATTCTATCAACTGTTCTATTATATGTTAATGTGGGAAGTCAATTTGCTGATCTTAATTTTTCTAATCCATAAAATGACAAGAAATTACCAGGTGATCTCTAAAATTCTGAGATTCTAGAATTCTTTAAATTGAATTATCTTCATAAATAATAAGCCATGAACATTTCAGAAATTCCATTTAAATATGTGATTTCAAATTTCCTCCCCAATTTCCTTCCTGCACATACACCAGATCTTTTGCCACTACCCTGAAGTGAACAGCTGTGAACCAACAATTCTAGAGCTTCATACTTTACAATTTATATAATGGTCTCATTTACTTCTCACATTGTTCCAGTTCATTATTTTTATCTTCTCCTCCTACTGCTAATCCTAGCCCATGTGCCTAGCATATGGTAGGCACTCAATATCTCTTACTAGACTGAATAAATGAAACTGCAATGTTCAAGGTAGATACTATGATTTATATTTTTCCCTGTCTTCCTCAGGAGAACAGTAGTGGGAATGTGGAAAAGCAATAGGTTTGCAACATGTTTGGCTGGCTTAGTAAATTGTCGACTCAGTTTTCATTTGTCCATCTGAATTATTTCCTCTAACAAATAAGAACTGACGAGAGACCATGAGGTTGATAACAACATACCTGGGCTGTGTCCCTGTTGGCATCAGGCAGTGCCATGACCATGAGGTGTAAGGCTTGAAATTGTACTTTGATGTGAGGTCCTCCTAACAAGAAAACAGAGAAATAACCACATATTTTGAACAACAATAATACATTCTGACAGTACTTCTTGGCAATATGTGGTAGCACAGGAGGGCTCCTGACAGCTCTCTAAGGTCACAACTCAAGTTTCAAGCCTAACAAGGTAAATCTGTTTGAATGGACAGGAGCCTCATTCTATCAGGTCCTCTTTCATATCCCAGGATGCCATTATAGAGGCCAGTGGCCAATAAGAACCTCAAAATATTTCTGGATTCATATTACATTTCTCTGTCAAAATACATTCGCAGACCTTGATTTAGTTTTATGCTATAAACAAAAGACTTGAAGCTCAAAAGATAATATATCTTGAATGCCTTGGTGGAAGATGACATTGGAGGAAGTTGCCTGCTTTGCTTCATGGGGAATGGCCTGAGAAGTCTAGACAGGCACTGAACTTAGAGAAGTCCATGATGTGGAGTGAGATTGGAATACTTCATAATGACCAGGGACCAAGCATAATGACTGCTGACCAAGCATGACAGAAGAGACATGGAGAAAATTCAATACTGGGCAGAACAAAAAAATGAGTAAGAAAAGAGGGTGCCTATGGATTAGAAACCTAGGTTCATACCTGTACCCAGAGGAAAGCCAAAGCTAATTGCTATGGATCTGGCCATGGGAGCTAGAGGCAAAAGTGCTGTGGTGAGCCAGGCATTGAATAAAGGAAAGCTTAGAAATATGTGACCCTCTCTATTTTCTTCAGGAAGCAGGCAGCTATGGGACTAAAGGGAAGCCATTTTGGAATGCATGAGGGTTGTGCCCAGGACCTAGCCCACAGACTCTGGAGGTGTGGGTCTGAGGCCCAGAAAAAAGGGCTAGCAGTGATGACATAGGCATGAGCAAAGTTCACACTGAAAACCTGCATTATTGATGGCCCCTCCAGGACCTTTCCCTACTCACTGAAGACCCATATAGAGATTAGTTTTACTGATATCCAGTGCTATGTACTGGGAAAGTAGAAGCTGTACACACTTAATATTCAGAAAGTAAACACTGGGGAGACCAAAAAAAAAAAAAAAAAAAAAACCAAATCACAACAAATGGCAAACTGAGTCCTCAGGGGAAGGAGTACTACATCACCAGAGAAAACAAATCTCCAGAACCCAAACATAAGACATGAAAGAATTTTTTGTTCTAATAGATACAGAATTCAAAATTACCATGATAAAGAAATTTGAAATGGAAGGAAACAGAAAATATGATCAAAGTGGTACAATATAATGCAGAAAAATAAATGAATGACATGAGAAATAAAATTAATGAACAGAAGATCAAAATTAAAACATTAAATAAGAACAGAGATGATGGATATATAAAGATCAACAGAGGATATGAAAAAACCTGGAAAAAGCTATGGAAGGAGACTAGATCAAATGGAAGATTGAATCATTGACCTTGAAGATGAACTGCACAAAGAATTCAGGTGGAAGCAGAGAGAGAGATACCAAAAAAAGATAATAAATATTTTGAGAACTATCCAACTTCATGAAGTATAGGAATATTATTCTTATACAGAAGGGGACAGAGAACTTAAAGAAATAAGAAAGGAGAACTTCCCAAGCTTGGAGTAAGAGCTAAGTACACAAGTCCATAAAACTAAAAGAACACCAAGTAAATAAAGAGAAACTTCTAAGAATTCAAGACAAAGAAAAAATAGTGAAAGTGGAGAAGTAGATTATCTATAAAAGAATCCCAATAATTTTATCTGTAAAATTGGAGTAGCCCATCACTTCAATGGGCTTCTGTGAAGAGTAAATGAGTCACTATATGTAGAGTGCTTACATCAGTACATATACACAATTACCTTTATATGTGCTTACTCTTATTATGATGATTAATCACATTTATTCTATATCTTATGGACATTTGGGGAAGGTGATTATAGTTGGGTCTTTGGAGTTCCGAGTATTTTATTCTTTGACAATGACAGAAGATGGCGCCAGAGGGTTGGCATGTATACTTGAGGCCTCAGTATAGGCTCTTTGCAGTTTAAGGAAAGAATTTTAGGGATTCCATCCATAATAGGATGATCCACAACCAGCTGTGCTGAAAATGTATAGTATACCAGAGTATCCAGGCTTTGTTTTGTCTCCCTGTATCCTCCTCAAAATGGCCTCTTAGTGGGGAGTTTCTGGAGGGAAGCATTATGTTCTAGAATCCCTGGGGAATTCTCAAGTTGAAGGAAAGTCCATCTATTTATAGTCACTGGATGAAATGCAGTCAGCTGTCTGTACAGTAGCGGAAAAACACTCTTGTGACAAGTTACTAGGTTACAGGAGGTGGTATGAAATCAAGTTAGCAGGAGATGACTAATGTATATAACCATGCAATGAAGGAACAGTTGTGAGGAATATTTATAGGATCATCTCATATTGTTACAACATAATACCCAGGTGGATTTTTATGAATTTATGTCAAAGTTGTAAACAGAAATGACAGAGTCCTATATGTTTTTGAAAATAGCTACGACACATTGATGTGAGTTACCTGAATAATAGGAACTAGCAGGAACATATCTCATTACAGAGCATTTAGGGAAGCATTATGATAGGCAATATTTTAATACATAAACTGAAAGACTATAGTCTTTCAATGCAATCCAAAAAAATTCTGGAGGGAGGATTGTAGATGCAGATGCAGGTTCTATATTTCCATCAATTTCAGAGAAATTGTTCATTTCCTTTAAGATTAAAACTTGAAATCTGCAAATAACCCATTTTCATTTTACTTAGGAAACTTGGCTCTACACTGTTTTATGGTTAGTAGTTTTGTAGTTAATTCATTTCACATCCTAATTAAGTCTTTTTTTTTTCCACTGAGGTCACTATTTTTCCAGAAAGTTATTAAACTTTTCATGAAAACACTTAAGTTTTGGGGGCCTCCCTGGTGGCATAGCGTTTAGGTCTTAGTGCTATTACCACTACAGCCTGAGTTCAATCCCCAGTCAGGGAGGTAACCCACATATGGTACAGCGACCTCTCCTATTTTGCCTGCTGCTTCCCTTAGCAGTGTATTTCAGTAAATCCATCATGTAAAGAAAGTGAACTCCTCTGTGGATCTTTTCAGGATATTTTCCAGATTCTCTCCCTTCTATGAAGTGTATTGGCTGTAGCCAGATAGGGAAGGATGGTTTAAGAAAAGCTAATTTAATGGTATACTTTTCTTAAATATGATTCTCTGAACAGGTCTGGCATCAGAGGTTTAATTCCTTCTTGCATAATTTCATAATATCAAAAAACCCCAATCAAAAAAATCCTGTCACACCAGAGGAGTTTGAAGAATTGTTTAATACATAAACCACAATCAAGGCAAAGTTAATGCCTCTGCAGTCCATTTTCCAAGAAGATGCACTGTATAGAAAATTTGTGTTTCTCAGACTTACAGTAAAGTGAGGGAGTTCTGCTTCTGGTATGGCTGCTATGTGATGTACCCTCCTGAAAATAACTACAAACTCTAGAAAGAATACCAAAAACAACTACTTGAGCAATGGGAAGTGAATAAAAGCAGGCAGATTTAGGAGAAGATTGAATACTGGGAATTTGAGAATGGTAAAGTCTTGTTTTTCTGACTTTGAGTCTGAGAATAGGCAAAAGACGTGGTTAAAATTCTCAAAGAGAACCCTAGTCTTTCTACTGTGACCAACTACAGGACAGGACTCAGGACCACCACAACTATTAGAAAGTTAGGAGGGGAATCCAGAAAGGAGAGGTCAGAGATGAAAGACCTGATTCTGTGGTAAAGTACACCCAAATCCTGGCCGATGAATCAGGCTTGTATGGAGAAGCACAGGTAATGATTAACTAATTGGACTGAGAGTGAATTGAACCACTGTCTAAAAGACCATTGGCAATTTGACTTCAGGTAAGCAATTATCTCTAAAAAATAGACAAGCAAAAAAAAAAAAAAAAAAGGGGAAAACTCTTTGGGAAAGTACTACAGAATACAACCTCCGAACTATAATATTCACTATGTTCAAGAGAGTTAAACTTACTCGACATATGAGTGACCCATTCTCAAGGAACAACTGATAGAGACTTGCCCTGAGATAACCCAAGTGTTGAACCAGAGACAAGAATTTTTGAAGCAGCTGTCATAATGACAGTCATATGTAACTTAACAACATTTTGGTCAATGATGAAGCAAGCACAGATGGTGGTCCCAATGGGCTCTACCATGTGGCCCAGGTGCGTATCATCTAGGTTTGTGTGACTAGATTCTATCATATATACATAATAAAAAAATTATCTAATGATGCATTTCTTAGAATGTATCCCCATTGTTAAGCAACACACGACTGTGATCGGTGACGTGAAGGAAAATATACATATAGTGAATGAAAAGACAAATTATCAGCCAATAAATAGAAAATATCTAAGAAGCACCAACTGGAAATTCTATAGCTGAAACAAAATATAATATCAAAAAAAAAAAAGAATATAACTCTTCTCTCTCTTTCTCTATCAGTGTTCTTCAAAAAACAAAAAACATATCTTACCAAGTAATGAGATACTGGTCGTACATGGCGTATGAATGAAAGCTCAGAAAAGGACTGACTTGCCTATCATAGTCTCCTCTCTGAAGACACAAAAGATTATTTTTATGAATCTGTTGTTAAAAATTTTAAGGACTTGGGCCTCCCCAGTGGCACAGCGGTTGAGCGCTGGGTTGTGAAGCTGCCTGCAGCCTCTGCAGCGCCGGTTCGATCCCCGGCTGCTCCCGGCCACCGGAGGAGGGTCCCACATGGCGCACAGACCTCTCCTGCCACCTGCTGCTCCCCTCAGCAGTGTACCTCGGTCCTTCTGCCTGCGTTGCTCCCTGATCTGGCTCTGGTGCGTCCTCTCACCCTCCCGCGCTTCTGACTGTACCCAATGCTTATATAAATAAATAAATAAATCTTTAAAAAAAATTTTTTTTTAAGGACTTAGAGCCTACTAAATTTTAGGACAAATTCTGTCACATAACTTAGGATCTAACTATAATTTTCTTTCATTTTGGTTTTAAGGATTTTATAATTCCAATGAACCTATAAAATTGTAAAGTAAAAAACACAGATATTACTCGCTGAGCTTATAGAATAGGTCTCAAATTTGAATTCATGATGCACATTTTCAAATGAAGATTTTCCCACTAAAACTTGAATTTTGGGCTCTCACTCCTGCATGGTGGCCATTGTCTAGAGTTGAGCAACGGTTCAACTTTTCATGTGGTGTGAGCCCACACAGTTTGGCCACAACACTTTTCTTGTCCACGTAGAAACACCATTTACTTAACAGACTTATACATAATTAGGCTTGCGACCCCCAAATTCCATAATGGCTATCCAGCCCCACTCTACTTCTCTCAATTTCATACACTGAAACTATGCCAAATTATTCCCTCACTGCTATGTATAACACACAATTCCCAGTTTCTATGTTTGTATCCAAATACCTCACTTATGGTCTAGTTTATGTGACTTTGTAATATTCAAAAGTACTAAGTGATATTGATTTCAGAGATAAAGCACCTTCTGGGTAGCATTTATTGTGTGCTTCATTGTCAGAACCAGGACTTCAGATTTAAAGAGAAGGATCTTATGCCTTTGAAGGATTATTAAATACCAGGTACTATTCTACAAGTCTTCACTCAATATCCACAACTACCCTGACAAGAAATTATTATCTATAATTTCAGGTGTAGCAATGAAATTCAGAAGCGGCGATTATGAGACAAACAGATGGCTGAAACAGGAATTTAAATCTCAAAAGTCTATCTTTTCTGAAAACTGCTCTACCTTATAATGATTATAAAATGTTCTAAATCTTACCTATCAGACACAAATACATGGATATGCAAAGAGATGACTGTTTACCACCAAACTCAATATTTCACCAAGGAGCTAGGAAATTGCAAATCTAGACATTTATTGACCTTATTTCTTAGTCCACTTACAAAGGTTCAACCTACTTTCCATGAGAGTGATGAAGGCAGGTATGTATTCCACAGGAAAGAGAGAGGTGGGTAGTTCTCTGAAAAATGCTTTCAACATTACTGCAGCTTCTCTATGGCACATTTTGTCCCATTTAAATTTATCAGTATTAAATTTGGCATCCAGTTCTTCACGGTATTGCTGAAAACAAAGGAAAAACAGTCAATATTCTATCAGGTTTTAATTTTTTACCATTTGAAGCCCTTTCCCTTTGAAATCTGTCATCACAGAAACTAATTTTGTAAGTAGATTGAAATGCCAGTATCAAGGCCAAGTTTTTTCAACATGATTAAAGAATTTAAATATTTCTGAATTTTTAAAAAGTTTTTAAAATCTTTTTAGAATATGATTCATCTTGATATAATTTGTTAATTCTTACAAATAAAAAGTTCTTTACCCAGGCCATGGTTTTATTTATGTGGTTTTGGTGGAATACTACCTATCTTCACATAATAAATGCACTGCTAGATTTTGACAAAGATTCCATTTCCTTTTTATTTCATTACTCCTTTCTTCAGCCATCAACTATTTCTAACTTATATCAATAATGCATGCCTCTCAGTAGTTCACACACAGAGTGAGAAACATCCCAATAAAGGAACTCCAGCATCACTGCAGCATGCAGATGAATGACACCATCCTACAGCAGCTACAGGAGAGCTCTCTGTTAAGTCATACATGTGTGTTCCACATGTTTGCATGTGTGCGGAATCCTTCATAAGGTTTGGAACGCTGGGTAAATACTTTTAAAAAAGTCACTAAGCCTCCATATGTTCTACCTGGCTATACATTTCACAGTATCAACTCATTTGATTATCAGTGCAACCCATTCTCCATGTGTTTTTTCCAAAGTCAAATTCATTTTTGCCATTTTCTTGAACAGCAGTATCTACCTATTCAAACCAAGCAGTTACAGTCAGTTCCATAACTGACACAAACTGCTTCAAAAAAGATGACTCTGAAAACCCTGTTCTTTAGGCCCTCTGCTTTATTTTCATGAGAAGCCTGATTCTTCTAACCTTGAGCATGCACAGCTCAAGTTTGCCTGAACATCTTATCTTTTCCATCCAAGGATCAGCTCATGCACCAGCTCACACACAAGTGATCTACTGACCCCCAGAGCCTCATAACAGGGGCACCCTATTAGGACATGTTTCTCACAGACAAATTTCCGAGCTACCTGCTGACCCCACTGATGATGTCTAAAGGAAATTTTCTTCTTGTCCTTGAGAAGTTCTCAATCTAACAGGAACAGTATGGCTACTCAAGCAATCCTTTGTTCGTAAGTACATTTTATGAAGTCCTGAAGTTCACATAAAATCCTTACAGATAGAGCATAGACAGGCTCTGGATGATGCATGAGATCCACTCTTTGTCTTTGGGCATCTTGTGGATCTTGTGGAAGGGAAAACTTCATGGACTCACAATGCTAATTTCAGGGTGTTAGTTGTTAAATGCTAAAACCAAAATTAGTATTGGGGCTATGCAGCCACGAAAGACGAAAATCATTATCTGCTGAGTCTTTGACAGCAAGGACTCAAGGACTGATGAGAGCTTGCCAGGGAATAAAAGAAATAGGGTGTCCTGGACAGAAGAAACTGCTCAAGCAGTGGTACAAATGCAAGGGCATCAGTGAGTGCAGGAAATTCCTGTTAGTTCAGTGTTGCTGGAGCACTGTGGGCAAGGAGGAGAAGAAATGAGAGTTGTGGGCAGACCAGAGCTGATCTTAAGGGGAACAGGCTTCATTCTGAAGGCAATGAGGCAACATGGAAGATTTCTAAGAATAGAATTACAAGTTGAAATTTATCTTTCCTGACAGTGAGATGGAAAAGCAATTTGGGGGAGGGGAGTGCAGTGCTGGTTGGGGAGAAGACTAGAGGAAAGGAAACTAGTTATTGGGCCATGGAACTATTTTATGGTTATGGATAATTGAGGACTAACCTGGATAAATGGTTGTATGATAGAAAGGAGAGGAGGGACTTCAGAAATGCCTAGGTCAGAAAAAAACTCAAGAATGAGAGTGAAAGGTTGAATATTAGACTCAGAGGGAGAAATTACAGTTCAAGATGACTCTCAGATTGCTAGCTGGAGTAATAGGCAGATGGAGGTGTCATTAACAGGCGATACAGAGGAGCAAATGCTTTCCATCCATTGCCTGCTATGACTGCCATAAAGCAAAGGGAGTAAACTATTTTCAGTGGGCAGGAATGACTCAATTCATTTCCCACATACTTTTGCCATAGGATGCTTTCTGAAACTTGGAGGTGACCATCACTCTGACCTGTCAGTGGCACCCTGTCCCTTAAGGGGCTATATCATAGTGATGTCAAGGGCAGACTCTACAACCAGATTCTTGCAGTTCTTATCCCAATAGCACAACTGACTAGTTGTATGGCCTGTGCTTCAAGTGTCTCACCATGTAATTGCAATATTAAAATTGTCTCACATAGATTCAATCAGATTATATAATACAATATAATCAGATCATATAATATAAAGCTCAAAGCTCAAAAGAGCCTGCCACACAATAAGAGCCTCATTCCTTCCCTCACCTTTCAGTCTACTATGGCCTTTTTACTATGGGACACCAACGGGTCTGTGGTGTGGATTGGGGGGAAAATATCTTCATCTTATCTAGATGGCCAGATAGTGCAGACCAGTGACTGTCTGAGCAGAGCTGATATTTCCTTTGTGGTCCTAAGCATAAAAATATATAAACTAGGGCCTCCCCAGTGGCGCAGTGGTTGAGCGCTGGGTTGCAAAGCTTCCTGCAGCCTCTGCAGTGCCGGTTCAATCCCCGGCCGCCCGGCGAGCGTCCCACATGGCGTGCAGACCTCTCCTGCCGCACCCCCTGCTCCCCTCAGCAGTGTAATTCATCAGTCTGCCTGTTCTGTTCCTCGCTCTGGCTCTGGTGAATTCTCTCATCCTCCCACGCTTCTGACTGTACCCAGTGCTTGTATAAATAAATGAATAAATCTTAAAAATATATATAAAATAAAAGTTTAAAAAAATACATATAAACTAGGACTTGAATTTGCCTTGCCAAAGAAGCCTTCAGAAGTTAAAGAAATTGTGCTTTCTGTCCAGTGTTAATGATAACACTAGACAAGGATCCAAAGCCATGTCATGTGCTTAAAGTACCTCTGAATAAAATGTATGACCTACTTCCATTTTTGAGGTACTTTTAATAAAATGCAAAAGACTTGCCTACAGTTTCAGAAACTAGTTCAGGAAACTAGCAGATCTGTAATATAATTATAAAACATTTAGATCAGCTTCAGAATAAATGAAGCTAGTCAAAGAGGAAAACCTTGCATGCCAAACAGTCTGCCATCTTCCATAAAATATATTCCTCTAGTGTCTGGCTCAAATTTCTGTCATTTTTGGAAAAGAAAATCACTGGAAACACCAAAGTATTAAATTGGTTCCAAATGATCTGATGCTTCAAACCCAGGAGTGGGTCCCACTGTGTATGCCCTATTCCTATTTGGCTAAAACTAGCAGAATCCCCTGGGGGCTGCTTCCCCTTTACTCTTGCCAGGCCTTGAAAGCCCAACTGGGGCTGGATTATTCATAATGTACATTAGTGTTAGTGTCATCCACTTGGCGCAACTTGAGGATAATTATAATGGATTTTTTTTTAACTTTCTTTGCCCAAGCACATTCCTAGAAAAAAAAATGTCTAAAAGATGAAATTACCACAAAAAAAGAGGGTAGTTTAAATTTTGAATAAAGGAAAGAAATAAAATCCCCTTTAATATATCTAATTACCCTTTCTTCTTCTTCTTCTTTTTTTTTTTCCACACAGTCTTTCTGTTGTATTTCCCTCTTTCTGGTCATTGGTCCAAAATTCTCTTACATTGGATTTTTGGAAGTCAAACCAAAAAAAAAAAATCTGGATTATATTTTTCAGACTAACAAGCAATGAAACAAATAAGCTGAGACTATACAAAACCAGTTATGAGAGAAAAGGGATTTTTTTTTTTACCTAAATGTGGTGCAGGAATGCTTGTCTTCAAAAACACATTAACAAATTATTAGCCTGGTAAGTATTTTTCAGTCAAGGATTATTGAGAAAAAGTAATTTCTGTTATGATGTTAAAGTTCATGTGCACAAGAAATGTCTAATTTTTTCGCTTTTTGACTATTTTTATCATATCCATCATGATCCTTCAAATACACACATATACACACACAGGAGAATATGTGTAAAGACAGTTTCTCAATTATGGAAAGGGGTATAAGGGTTGGGTCTAGTTTTGTTTAGGAAATTCATTTCTTTAATTTCATTTTGTTTCTCTGACTCTATAGCTATAACCAAAGATTTAACCAAAACCAGTGATAGGTTCCATCCTCAGAATCATGAAACATTTGTACAGCAGTATAAGTAATAACCATAACCATAAGAACCTGAGATAAAATGTAGATTCACTTTAAGATAGTAGAAAACTTAAGGAGTCATTAGGGATGTTCCTGCTTGCCAAAGGAACTGTACCAATAGAATAAGTCCTCACTTAATATCATGATGCATAATGAATGCATAATGAAAGGAGACATTCTAATAATGTCACTTTGTTCACATGGGCAGGAATTTTCTTCTTCTCATCAACAATATAATGAAATGATACAAAACAAAGTTATTTAAGGACCTGCTGTATTTAGCAAACTCTAATCTCAGAGAAGTCACAACTCTCCAAAACGCCCTGATCCCATCTGCCACTGGCAAAGTCTGTGTGCTACTCAGATCTCCCTTCAAAAAAGAATCTGTTGTTCATCTGTAAGTCTAGGTAGCTGACTCCCTGAGATATAAGCTAGCACCTGCTGATCTACCCCAGCAGAGACTGTGGGCAGGATGGCAGCTGGGTTGGCCTGTTGTGCCCAAAGCTCCAGGGAAGAACTATCAGACCCACATTCAGCCTGAAGCTCAGCCTCTCCTATCATGCTACTTACCCTTCATCTTTCACAAGTGCTCACTATCCCTCCTTCTCCTCCCCTCATCAAATCCTCTTTTACTCTCACTCCTGTCCAGCATCTGCTTTCTGGAGGTCCCATTAGAAACAATTTCATGTGAAAACTCTGAGATTTCTGATACAAAGCAAATTTCCCAAAACATGTACCAAAACGAATTTAAAAAAGAGATGTTTTTCCATTGCTACACATTTCCTTTTAATAGTTCTAAACACAACCAAGTTCATTTTTCTCCTAACCCATTTTCTGAAGGTTTCCTCATTTAAAACTACTCAAGCTTCTTTTTTTTATTTTTTTAATAAGTTATTGTTTTAAATTTGTTTACATCATTGCTCATTTTTAAACAATAATTGCCTCCCCCCACCCCCTCAGGTGTAGTCCCCATAGTGTTTCCTTCACCAATGCACCCATGCACCATCATCTCAGTCCCTCCCTCCCTCTGATCCCTCTCCCTCCTCCTTCCCTGCAGTATGTCTCTGATTTATAATTGTCTGTTTTTGCTTTGTTGTATTTTGTACTGTTATTATTTTTTACACTGATGTCTTATTTGGTTCCCCTATATTCCTGCTATAAGTGCATCCAGTATTTTTCTTTTTCCTTCTAGCTTATTTCACTGGGCATCATTCCTTCTAGTTCCATCCACGTTGCTGTGAATGACATGAGTTTATCTTTTTTGATTGCTGGGTAATATTCCATTGTGTATATAGGCCACATCTTCTTGATCCAGTCATCTATTTTTGGGCATTTGGGTTGTTTCCAAGTTTTACCTATTGTAAATAGTGCTGCAATAAAATGGCCATCCTACCAAAAGCAATATACAGATTCAATGCTATTCCAATAAAAATCTCAATGACATTCTTCAAGGAAATAGAACAAATACTGATGAAATTCATATGGAACCACAAACAACCACGCATAGCCAAGCCCTACTGATGAAAACAAAGGAGAAAGGAGGGCCTCCCCTGGTGGCACAGCGGTTGAGCGCTGGGCTTCGAGGCTGCCCGCAGCCTCTGCATTGCCGGTTCGTTCCCTGGCCGCCGGTGAGGGTCACACACACACACACACACACCCAAAAAAAAAAACCCACAAAGGAGAAAGGAGTTATCACACTTCCAAACTTCATGCTATACTACAAAACCATAATAATTAAAACAGTTTGGGATTGGAACAAAGACAGACACACAGACCAATGGAACCAAATAGAGAACCCAGAAATAAAACTAAACCTATATGGACAACTAATCTTTGACAAAGGAGCAAAGAATATGCAATGGAACACGGGCAGTTTGTTCAATAAATGGTGCCGGGAAAACTGGACCACACATGCAAAAAAAAATGAAACTAGACCACTATCTTTCACCATGTACAAAAATCAGCTCAAAATGGATAAAAGAACTGGACATAAGACCTGAAACCAGAAAATATATAGAAGAAAATATAGGTAAAACACTACAAGACATACATCACAAAAACATCTTTAAAGACTCATCACCCAAAGCAAAGATAGTCAAGGAAAAGATAAACACCTGGGATTACATCAAACTGAAAAGCTTCTGCACAGCACAAGAGACATTAAACAAAACAGAGAGACACCCCACTGATTGGGAAAAAATCTTTGCACCCAAGTTAACTGATAAGGGACTGATGACAAAGATATACAAAAAACTCACATGACTCAACAAAAACAAAATAAACAATCCAGTCAAGAAATGGGCAGAAGAACTTAAAAGACATTTCTCCAAAGAGGAAATGCAAATGGCCAACAGGCATATGAAAAAATGTCCAACATCCCTTATCATCAGGGAAATGCAAATTAAAACCACATTGAGATACCACCTTACACCAGTAAGAATTGCACAGATCAAAAACACAACAAGCGGGCCTCCCCGGTGGCGCAGTGGTTGAGCACTGGGTTGTGAAGCTGCCTGCGGCCCCTGCGATACTGATTCTATCCCCAGCTGCTCCCCGGCCACCGGAGGAGGGTCCCACATGGCGCGCAGACCTCTCCTGCCGCCCACTGCTCCCCTCAGTAGTGTATTTAGGTCCTTCTGCCTGTTCTGTTCTCCGCTCTGGCTCTGGTGAATTCTCTCACCCTCCCGTGCTTCTGACTATACCCCGCGCTTGTATAAATAAATAAATGAATCTTTAAAAAAAACAAAAAAACAAAAAAAAATACAACAAGCAACAAGAAATGTTGGTGAGGATGTGGTGAAAAAGGAACTCTCCTGCATTGCTGGTGGGAGTGCAAACTGGTCCAACTACTATGGAAAGCTGTATTCCTCAGTCTACTAAAAATGGAGCTACCGCAGACCTGACAATTCCACTACTAGGGATCGACCCAAAGGACACAAAAAATTTGATCCAAAAGACCACATAAAACTACTCAAGCTTCTATGTCCATTAGCCAGGGAAGGCAGCAGGAAACTTCACTGTGTATGCCCACCAGTAGAAAAAGTGAGATAACTTATTGGAAATTTGTAAGAAAGGGTTTTTTTTTTAAATTATTTGTTTATTGTACTATAGAGTTTGCCACCATACAGAAGGAAAAAATAAAGCAAAAAGATTCACATTGCATGCATGGGTGGTTTTCCTTGTGGAAACTAACATTACCTTAAATGGAATTGGGTTTTATAACTGCTGAGTGGGTATTCTAGTGGTTACAGCCATTTCTACAAATTCTTGTAAGGGCTTTCATTAAAAGAGGAGCCAAAGAATGTTTCCGAGTTTAAAGCAACTGAAAATGGAAATAAAAGCTCAAAAAATATTGACAGTGAATTCCACTGAGAGGAATCAAAACTAAAGTGTTTAGCCTAAAAATCAGCAATGGGATATTTCACACAAAAGACACATAGCAGGTTTTGGTGGGGAACTGATGTGCTTTGTTGTTGTTGACTTTCTTGTTGCTGTTGTTTTAATTTGAAAGCATACAGAACTCAGGAACCTGAAATGACATTTAATCACAAGTATAGAGGAATACTAGATGGGGTCAAGTGATAAGTATCAACAACAAAGGACGTGGCACCTGATACTTCTATGAACTGGCTCTAGGGAGCTGTCTATCTAGAAGACAGAAAATGTCCATACCTTCACTTTGGCAGTACATCCTGAAAGTCGAAAAATTCCTTCAGACTCTAGACCCGATTCTTCCACTTTTTTAAAAAACTAAAAAACAATGATACACACAAAAAATAAGCACCTCCATATGGTTACAAACAATGAGAACATAATGATGGCAATAGCTGATAAATTACCAAGCATATATACACACCCAGTACTTAAATGCATTGCTAAAAGTTCACAACTACCCTATAAGGTCAACATTAGGAAAACTAATTTTCAAATGAGGAAGCAGACAATTAAGAGCTGTATGTTACTTTCCTAGGATCAACCTTAAAATTAATGGCACTGATTGACTTAAGCTTATGCTCTTAACCTGCAGAGTATGCTGTTACTTGACCACTTAAAGATCTGGTGACTATATCTCTTTCTGCAGAGTGACCAGTAAGAAGCGTATCTACGATTAGTATCATTAGTTGCAACCACTCAGGCTAAAAAAAAAACTAAAGGAATTGTGGAAATCTGACCAAGGAGGTGGAAATTATAAAGGTTCATAGATTTCTTTAGCTTTCCTGGTGGAGATGAGGATGGTATTAAACAGTAATAATAAACACTAATTTTTATTGTGCACTCACTGTGTATTAGCATTCCCACAAATTAACTCCTTTAATCCTCACAGTAATTCTATGGGTCTGGTACTATTATTTCCATTCTACAGCTGAGGAGACTGAAGCATGGGAAGGATGAATGACTCGCCCGAGTACACACAGCAAAAGGAAGATCAAGTCTCTGCTATTTTCCCTTCAAGAAATGATATTACCTAAAACTAAAGGAGTTCTTGTATAAATGGAGAAAAATAATCTTTGTAGGAGAAAGAAGCATGTCTGGAAGACTCTCCCAAAGGAGCGAAAGAGTAATTCAAGAGGTCTTAAATAAGGAAAACAACAGCGATGGTAGTATTAACAGTTTTGAGTTGCCAATATGACATAAATCTGGACTTAATGTAACATGCAGCTACATTTGCTACAATCTGTGTTAGGTTTTTGAACCTACATAATAATATATATTCATGAGTTGACTCTTTTCAGTCTTAGATATTTTATGCATTTTCTGCATACTCTGACCTTTACAAAGAGGCCAAGGGCAGAAATCTGATTTTAACTCAAAGGAAAAAAAATCTTAGCATCACCATAGACTTGGCCTTGAAGATACATTGTGCTCTTTTTCACATCTACCTCTTGCTGGCTGCGTGTTCTGGTTAAGTGATCTTACCCTACTATGCCCCAACTGCCTCACCTGTAAAAAGGAGAAGTTACCACCACCTCCTCAGGATGCTTGGTGTTGACTAGACATGATAAGGTATGATGGCACTGGCACAGGGGAGGCACCCTACAGGTACCCTGCGCACACTGACATGTCACCAGCATCCTCTCCCACTGGTAGCCAATCAATCACCTGATTTGAGAAGCAGCTAATTTCAGGGCATCAGTAGCAAATGTAGAAAGATAGGAAACACAGAATTGTTACTGTGAGCAAAGTAAGTATATGTTTCTTCAGTCAATGTTTTTATATATCATTAAAAGCTTAATTTAAAATTCAACTAGATTTTCTTTGAGACTTGGAATTTTAATTGTGTCACTGTATATCACTGTTGAATAAATGCATACTTAAGGAAACCAGTTTAAATTTAGCATAGTGACTTAAATCCAAATCAGCTATTCAGCAATGATGGCCATAGAGACAGCAGCATATGATAGTTTCAAATATACTGTTTTCAAAAATCCCTTTCACCAAAAGTTCTTTGTTAAATGGATCCTATCTTCCCAGTCATACCTGAAAAATCATCAGAACAAGTTGATTTTTACACTTTGCTATGTTTGTTGGAAAATTCATTTAATGCTAACAAATATGCATTTAATAACACCAAACCTATGATATGCTTGTATGATATATAAATGGACTGCTGATAATTAATGGTCATCTTTCATTTCAGAGACACACAAATACATATGTGCATACAAATAACATTTTTTTTTAATATTGGGGAGAAAATTAAACAAAGGAAGTCATGTGACAGAGCATCTATGTCCATCACCTGAAACCTGATGGTCCAAACAAAGAAACAGGTACCAAAAATTTACAACAGCAACTGTTCCAAATACCTGTGTGGCATTTAAGAGAAACATGGAAGAAAAGTGAAACTCACCAAAGACTTGAGTCCTAATAAGGATTTAGTTAGTATCTTAAACTCTAAGAGAAAATTCACTAGTGGGTTTACAAATACACAAGCATGAGGCTCTATTAGTACTCAGTTCATTTACGTTCAACTCACTTTTTGCAATACAAAGGGAACTTTCACTCCAGGGTCTTTCTTTCTGTCATTGTCCAAAAGGACTGTAAGTGGAACTCCAAAAATTCCATTGTCTTCATTGTAAAATAATTGAGAGAGAAAGAAAAAAGAATCAGAAAAACACTATTTCATCCCAAGAGAGTGTTAAATTCAGAAGAAACCAGTCTTGTCAATTACCTCGTCCTTTTACTTTCTCTGTTTTGGTTCTCTTCAGTTGAATTCCAAAGGCATCAAAAAAAGCCGTTAATTCAATTAGAGAGAGATGGCGAATTTTCTTCATATCTTCAGCAGACAGATCTCCTGCTTCAGTTAGACCAAATCTGGTTTTCTGAACAATAAATTTCTAAAATACATATTGAGGATATTTATTTTTTATGACAAAAGAAAATGATTATCCCTTCATTCAAATGTCTTGTTCTAAATCAGTACAGCAAAACATGCTATTTGCAAAATATCTCAGGAGCATGCTATGCCATAGGAAGATTATGAATATGATTTTTAAAACACCTGCAGGTAATTACTATACTAAAATAGAAGCGAAACAGTGGCCTGAAATGTACTATTCCATTGTCACCAAAACCGTTTAAACTGTTGTCTTATCAGGAACACTATATTTTTAACAATACATACCCCAGGCTCAGTCTAGAAAGCACCTAGCACAGGCAGACATGACATATAAACACAAGGCACATCATCTAGGTACTCTCAGGAGAGCTTTTGACATATCTTTCTTAAATTTCGGACCATTAATCCTTCAGTCAGTCATCATCTATTCTCTACTGCTTATTTTAAAAGACTAAATCATCTCTCAATTGTACCTGATTGTACATGCTTGCTGAGACTGCAGTTACTGTACCTTAGAAATCAATTGAGATGATTCCAATTGAGATGATTTTCTTTTTTGAAGGAAAATGCAAAGTAAGTGCCAAAGAGTCCTACTAGTATTTTGAAGACAATGATATTGCTATAGTTTCCATTTCTACATTAGGAAACAAAATACACTAAAAAGACCAAAAAAAAAAAAAATGACGTCCTTCAACAATCCAGAAATAGTGTGAAAACTGTAAAAAGTAAAACCTTTGAAGAAAATTGTTCTTATATAATACTCACAAATATATTTTATTCTCAGAAAAATCTGCTATTGAAAAAAAGCTAAGATAGAAAAACCCCATATTTATTTAAATTACAAAGCTTTAACACATTTCTCTGTAGAAGCTCCCTAAATTATAAATTCCTGGGTATTTTAAGCCATCTAATCATTTATTCACTCATTCATTCATTCAGTCTGTCAATAATTGTTCCTTGGAATTCTGAGTATGTAAAAATAAAACAACAATATGTAGGATGTGATTTGGGGCATATTGTGTGCTAATGAATAATTAGTTATTTTGTCTTCTTTTGACACCAAAGCCTTAATAATAATAATAATAATAATAATAATAATATATATCAACAGTGGTATACAAGAACCACAGCCATTTAGCAATTACCATGTGCTCAATCCTATGCAAAGCTCTTCATGTGATCTGCCTACACGGCTGGCAAGTTAAGCTTCAGGAGACAGTGGGTGATATCTTGCCTTAGCCAACTCTCTAAAGATTTGGAAGGACTCTCCCTGAAACCAGAGCCCCGCTGGATTCCTCTTTTTGCTCCACAATGGCACTGTGTGCTCTAACATAAAGATTGCTTTGGAGATTGACATGCATAAGTTTAAATCTTGTTTCTGCTTCCTATAGCTGTGGGAATTTTAATATATTACTTGACTTCTTTGGGGATCAGTTTCCTCTGATGTAAAATTGGAGTGATCACTTAGGTAATTACAAATACATTATTTAGTGTAGTGTCAGGCCTAGAAAAGACATCTACAGCTCTTGCCCTGTCTTCTTGTCCCTTCTACCATGGGGTTGCTGTCTAGGATGGTCTAGGTTGCCTGGGGTAAAGATTACCAGATTTTACATGAATCATTCCTTTAGCTCTGAACTACCTGAGCCCAGCTCATCATTCCTTCAGCCCTGATCAGGGCAGAATATTCAGGGCTCTATATCATGAACTCTTTACCAAACAGATCAATGGAACACAGTTTCTGTAGTTGGCTTTCAGGAGATGATATATCTATTGATCGGTATGTGCATGTGTATATGTATATATGGACACATAAAGACACCGACACACACACAGGCTTCCAGGATAATGAAATGTGTGTCTCTATTTGCCCAACCACAATAATAGGATAAATTCTTTGGCTCATTTTTGATGAATTTTTGTGTCACTCCTAAGCACCTACTTCTTATTGTTATTACTGCATTTTCCTACACTACTGCTTCTGACATGTGGCTACCAGAGGCACAAGAAACTACACATTATTCAGCATCAACTTATCAGTAAATTAAGGATATAAAGTATATGAAAACACACAAGTGATGTGAAAATACAATTTCATCAGTTAAAGAGTATTCAAGTATATACCCTCACAACTCTTTATTGACTCAGGGCTCCCAGGTATGGCCAACCAGGTAGTGCACTACTCAACATATGGTGTCCTGGAGTGAGTGACACCAATGCTTGGCTTCTCCACACACACTGGAATTTGTTTAAAATCCTAGATTCTTTTGTGGAGAAGTCACAGGAAGTTACTGGAATAATTATGAAAGTCTTTACTTACGGTTAAAGCATAATCTTCTTTCTTAAAATCGGACTTCTTAGATTTGTTTCTTTTTGGAGCCTCTGTAACCATTTCTGAATAAGATACTTCAAATGATAGTTCTTCAGCTTCTGGTAGAATGTTCTTTTCCAAATAATCATCACCTAAAACCAAAAGATATTAAATATGCTATTTAATCCATCAATACAATTTACTGTAAAATCAGGGAAAAATATCTGCACACTAATCCATAAGCATGTTAGAATGTTTATATCCAAGTAAAAGCATCAGGCTCATCTAGAGGATTTCAGTTAGACAGTAAGAAGGTGTCATCAGACTGCCCATGAATAATTTTCTATAATTATTATCCAAACAAATTTTCTCTTTAACTTGATGTTTTTAAGTTTACATTTTTATGTTTCGTGAAAGTTACTGAGGACTAACAGAGGGAAGTATACAAATGAGGTGTTTCTATATATTACGATATTAAAATCAGATCTAATGTTGTTGCCATTAGGAAAGATGTTTAATGCAGAGGGGAAAAGAGAAGAGCTCCCACGCAAATCCCTGCCTATGTTCAATCCTCTTACGTTTTTCACCCAAACTGTAGACTATTTGCCCTTAAAACTGGTTCAAATTCAATTTGGACTTTACTGTTAGGTATGTTCAGGTGAATTAAGTCACATTCTTATGATCTGGCATTGGTGCCCGACCTTTTGTCATGTTCCTTAAGAAAGAGCTGAATGGTGACAAGTAATGCCCAGGTAAATGTTTTCCTCAAGGCAGTTTGAAATAAAAACAAGATTCCTTGACAAAAACAAGAGAAGCCAGAAATCATTTGATTAATCCCAAACTTTGATTTTTAACAAAGATTTTGGCCTCCCATCTTGTTGCATTGTCTGACAAAATTGTTCACGTGCAATGAAAAGAATTATTTGACTACAAAATAGAGAACTGCTCTCTTAGACCAAAGGACAACAAATAGAACGAAGAACAAAGAATTAAAGACAGAAATAATAGAAGACCTAATTAATCTTTTTTTTAAAGATTTATTTATTTATTTATACAAGCACTGGGTACAGTCAGAAGCGCAGGAGGGTGAGAGAATTCACCAGAGCCAGAGCAGGGAACAGAACAGGCAGAGGGATGAAATACACTGCTGAGGGGAGTAGCAGGCGAGGCAGGAGAGGTCTACGCGCCATGTGGGACCCTCGCCGGCGGCCGCGGATTAAACCAGTGCTGCAGAGGCTGCAGGCAGCTTCGCAGCCCAGTGCTCAACCGCTGTGCCACCAGGGGAGGCCCAAGATTAATTAAAATAAAAGTTAAGTGGAGAAATTTGTAAATCAGCTGATTAAAAATTTGAGTTATACATAGGTATTAGACAACAAAGGGATATGGGAAGAACTTAGAAAATAGCCAGGGTAGAGTTATGATTTTCAGTCATTATCCAGAGGCTGCATTCAAAGCAGAGGAAGATTGTTAATACAGTACCTTCCTAAATAACTATGGGCAGATTCTTCTGAGTGGTGAATACATAGGCCAATGCCCAAAATACCAGATCACTCTAAGTATTAACTTTTAGTGGCATGACTTGAACTGAATGATGTAGAATAATTTCTGGCAAGCCCATTCTCTATGATTTTTTTTTTTTTTTGGTAATGGCTTTATCAAAATATAAGCCACATTCTATACAGTTCATACATTTAAAGAGTTTCAAACAATGGATTTTGCACATTCAGTTATGTAACCATCAGCACAATTTTAAAATAGTTTCATCACCCAATTTACTTTATTTTTATTTATTTTTTTTAAAGATTTATTTATTTATTTATACAAACACTGGGTACAGTCAGAAGCGCTCACCAGAGCCAGAGCGGGGAGCAGAGCAGGCAGAAGGACCGAAGTACACTGCTGAGGGGAGCAGCAGGCAGCAGGAGAGGTCTGTGCGCCATGTGGGACCTTCCTCCAGTGGCCGGGGAGCAGCCTGGGATCAAACCGGTGCTGCAGAGGCTGCAGGCAGCTTCGCAACCCAGCGCTCAACTGCTGCGCCACCGGGGAGGCCCAGCCCAATTTACTTTAATTTCGATGGAAATGCTGCAAGTACATGGCCCTACTGTTTATGAGGAAGGTGTACATATTTAGGGAAAATTTGGAGGAATCACTAAAGTATGGCCTGAAGGGGCCTATTTCCTACAAGAAAGATCTGAGATTCTGTACCGAGCTATGTAGCATGCTAACCTCTCAAGTGGAAGAGGCCTGGTTAAAAGCTAGTTCTGTCACCTTGTATGTGACAAGATGTCTCAGTGCTGCATAGACTTGAGCATAATTAGTGACTCCTGGAAGTGGCCTACTTCCTGATCTGCTTGTAACTATAAGCAAATCCAGATTACTTGTGAAAGCGGTCCCAATCAAATACACTACCCAAGTGAGTAGCTTTTTTAAAAATATTTTTATTTATACAAGAATCGGGGTACAGGCCAGATGCGTGGGAGGGTGAGAGGATTCACCAGAGACAGCAAGGAGTAGAACAGGCAGAATGATGAAACACACTGCCGAGAGGAGCAGCAGGCGAGACAGGAGAGGTCTGCTCACCATGTGGCACCCTTGCCGGCCAGCAGGGATCAAACTGGTGCTACAAAGGCTGCAGACAGCTTCACAGTGGGGTGCTCAACTGCCTGTGCCACCAGGGAGGCCCCCAAGGGAGTAGCTTTTAAATGATGTAGCAGTAGAGAAGGAAGAAAAAGATTCTCCTTCTAATTTGGCTCAATTTATTGGTGTGACAGAATGGTGTGCTTGGAGGTGGAGGGGAGTACTGGAGTGATAGGATCGAAATGGGGAGAAAAACACACATTTTACTTTTTAAAATTTACTGCTAAGGTCTACTGAGTACAAGAAGAAAGGCAAGAAAAAACAGCTTATGTTTAATTGGTAGCTGTCCCACTCACCCCTCACTACATTCTGACTGGGCTGTCCACGTTCTGGAGATCCATTGGAATGAACTGGAATATCTGGAATGGTCTCTAGTAGAGACTAAAATAAGAGAAGACGAACATAAAACACTTTACCATATAAGTAGTCTAACCCCACATTTCAAAATGATTTATGTTCTATAGTATATAGGACTTCTTTTCACAAACAGCCATTCTATATTTCATAAAGGGCTTGCATATCGTTTGCATTGCTTTTGCATTCAGTTCACACCTGTACAACTCACACAGGTTTCTCAAAAGAGAACTGCCAAAATAACTGCATCTTCTTAGCTCTTAAGTATTTGCTGCTCATACCTTTCCTAAGATGCAGAAATTAAAATACTCCATGTTACAAGAATTAAAATATACTAGAGTTTGACAATTACACATTTATAGTATATGTTATTCTTTTTTTTAAAAAGATGTATTTATTTATACAAGAACTGGGGTACAGGCCAGAGGTGCAGGAGGGTGAGAAAATTCACCAGAGACAGTGCGGGTTGCAGAACAGGTGGATTGACTGAAATACAATGCTGAGGGGAGCAGCGGGCAAGGCAGGATTGGTCTGCTGCGACATTTAGGGATCTCCCTGGCCAGCCAGGAATCGAACCTGTGCTGCAGAGGCTGTGGATAGCTTCACAGCATGGTGCTCAACCCAATGCGCCACCTGGGAGGCCCAGTATATATTATTTTTGATGCAGTTGGTAATACATTTTGGCTTAAACTCTAAGTGATGACACAGTTAGAGAGTTAATGACAGGGATTTTTTAACTAGACTGGATTCTCATCCTGGTTTAGCTACTTTCTGTGTAACTTTGAGCAAGCTACTAGAACTCTCTATTGTTTAGTCTCCTAAACTATAAAATGAAGATGATAATAAAAGATACTTGAAGAGGTATTATAAATTTTCAATAACTTATTCTGTATAAACCACACAGAACAATATTTCGTCCATGGTGAATACTACATGAGCTACTGTTAATATATCAACATATTCCTTCATTGCAAAATAGAGTGGCAATAACTACTAAAAATTTAATTTTGTTTTCTCACTCAGTTTTTCCTCTTATGTGCTATTGTCTTCACTGAGACCTGCCAAAACAAAACACTTCCCTGTAATCTTATCTGTTGCATATCTATCCTCTGAAGAACTCTGCAAAGTGACTTACTCCTCAAATTAGATGCGCATTAGTAAAAAAAATTTACACACAAATTCTACCAATACAAATTGTAATGTGGGAATTATCATCTGTGAATACATGTGAGGGTGAAAACCTGTTACTTTGTCAAGAATCTTTTATTTGTTACTCACAACAGAGCCTGTTCTATCTTCCCCCAGAGTCCAGTGCTGTCTCTTTTATACTCATATTTATTTAGCAATAACCAAATATTTATTTCATGAACAATATTTCAATCCTGCTAAAAACTGCAGAAGGAAATTTTAATTCTAGGCCTTCTGTGTGTGTGTGTGTGTTTTTTCCTCCCTATTTTATCTCAAAGGAGATGACACACTTCTTATTGTGTAAACAGTATATAAATATATGGCCAATTATTAAAACATAGGTGTTCATTGTAATTGATAGAAGAATGAAAGGGCAAAAAAAAAAGTTTAGGGACATACAGCTCATAGTCAGTTGCATTTTTGGTGGTTCCAAAAACTAACACTTCAGAATAAAGATAACCAATACATTCAAACCCTTAAAAAGATGTGGACAAATTTTCAGTGATTTCTTGAGTTTTTGAACAAAGAAATGCTTTATCAAACACTGAAATAATTCACCAATGAGGGAGAATCAAACATTGAAATAATTCACCTATGTGAGAAACACTCCTGAAAATGAGAGACATTGATTTAGGGATTGAAACCATTGGTTTGGATGCTGAAACCTACTAAATGTCAATTTCTTAATCTATAAGGTGAATCCATCTGGTAAATTGGGTTAACTGGCCCCTTGCCAGTCTAGATAGTGAATGAGTGCCTGATTTTTGTAATGCAAATTTTTCTGGGGGCTTTTTTTTTTTTAAAGATTTATTTTATTTATTTATTTACACAAGCAATGGGTACAGTCAAAAGCGCAGGAAGGTGAGAGAATTCACCAGAGCCAGAGTGGGGAACAGAACTGGCAGACTGACGAAGTACACTGCTGAGGGGAGCAGCAGGCGGCAGGAAAGGTCTGCGCACCATGTGGAATCCTCGCCCAGCAGCCGGGGATCGAACCAGCGCTGCAGAGGCTGCAGGCAGCTTCGTAGCCCAGCGCTCAACCGCTGCGCCACCAGGGGAGGCCCTCTGGGGGCTTTCTTGTGGGAAGTTAGTAAGTAGGTCAGACATTGTGGATAACCCTCAGCTCATCTATGCCATAACCTGTATTGCCATTGCTAAGTTACTAATTGATAAGTCATTCACATTATTCTATGTGTCTACAACATCACTGTACCACAAAATAAAACAACCATAATGAAAAACTTGAAAATACAACAGAAAAGTCTATGATATATGGTGCTAATAACATAACCACCCTGAACAGTGGGGATATCCTGGACTTGTGTCATGCATGTATATGTCAACTATCCTGTATCTCAAAGTAGACAAACTGTCCCTGAGGAACATATATGAATGTGTCCACTCCATCTGCTGTCTAATGTGTTCTCTGTTTCCTTCTATTAACTGGCCATAGGAAAGCCACTACCTCCTTTAAGAAGGTCTCTTGCTTCCTGTTGTCTAGCATATCACCCATGCCAGATCACTTACACAGAGACACCAAGGGGGGTCTCCCACTGGAGGTGCGGCATGAGGAATTATGAGCACTTTTGACAAAGACACAAGTTCTGTTACTCAACTTTAATCAAGTGAATCTGTCCATGTTTGGGTAAGTCCTAATAACTAAGGCAGGGACTACAGACAATAGCAGAGCACCTTTACTATCAGAATAAGAGGTTTTTCATTTATCCTGCAGGTTAAATGCAGGTCATCCATAAGAACTTAGTCAAGAGGACCAAAGTTAACAAATTTCTATGTATTTGATACACGTAACAAGCATCCTTTGGATTCTGAATGTAGTGTATTAGTTATAGAGTCCTGTTTTACTGAGATCTATTCATCCCTCAGCTCTAAGTCTCCTTTTTAGCTAGCTGCGACAGCACTGGTTGCCTTACAATCTTAGTTCAAATTTTTCTTATCTATTGTGAAGAAATTGTTTCTCCTTGCCTTGACCTTGCAATTTTACCCTGACATGCAATTGCCTTGGCATGCAATGACTTACCATGGAGCCCTCACTCCTGGAAACTGCAAAACTCCCTTCTTCATCCTGGGACCCATCTGAGAGGGTAGTACTGTTGAGAGAAGCATCATCTGCCTAAATGAAGAAATGAAAGCACCATTCTTATTCAGGCAAATGCTTTCTGTTGCACTTCTGCAATCTATAATATGAACATATTTAGATATATGTGGCAATATATAGAGGTTATGAGTCCCTGGGCAGAGGTGCTGCATACAGCCCTTCAGAGATCACTACTGTGGGTCACCCACATGCCAGGCCCTCTGACAGACACTGGCCTCTATTTCCTGCCACAAACTCCATTTTCCTTAACAATATTTTGCTTTTATTCAGGGATTAGGTGTTAAACCAAAGAACTTGCTTTCCCTGCTCCTTTTTAGTTAAGAGTGATTGTGTGACAATTGTGGCCAAAGAGATGTAAGTGTAATTTTACCAAGAGTGCACGAAGAAAATCTAAGGCTTTCCTGAACAAAAAGAATAAGATCAGAGTATATATGCCCATAACAGGTTCAGAGATGACAGCCTTGAGTTGTCAAGCATTTTGTACAAATAAGGATGATGGCTACAGAGGGGGCTGGAAGAGACAGCATAGCAAATGGCTGGATCCTTGCTGAGGAGCATCATGTGTCTGTGCTGTCAGATTTGGACACCTCACTCAGTTTCTTCTTCATGTGAACAAAAACAACTCCTAATTTTCTATTACATGCAGCCAAAAACAAAATTAACTTTCAATTATTTTTAAACATATTCTATACAGATCTTTGTAGTAATTAGAATTCAGTAGCAATAGTATCAACTTATTTTGTCACTAAGAGAATTTTGCTTTAGTGTATAATGGTTTTACTGACGTGTAAGGCATAAATATTCTTCCCTTTGCTGAAGGAATCTTATTACAAAATTGAGTATATTTTATGAGAAATACATTATTTTGTCTTAAAAAGTTGTAATTCATCTTGCTTGACCACATTTTCTAAATTTTCCACTAAAGAGAGTATAAGATGAAGAAAAAACTTGTAGGAAAAAATAAAACACAAGAATTAATACAAGAAATTGAAGGTGACATACTGACAATCACCTACTTCCACTCCCACTCCAAATACAAAAAAAATGTATATTTTTAAAGGAATAGATTTTTAACAGAACTAGAAATCTGCAAAGAATTCTGTAGTAGACCAACTGTGGAAGGGATCCAATGGACTGTGGTGGAGGACTATGGGGTGCCTTGGTGGGTTGAAGGGTTGGAATGTGGTAACATATATCTGAAGAGATGTAATTCTATTCCTCCAAAATATATAGTTTTGTAAACCAATGTTATCTCAAAAAAAAGGAAGGAAATTAAGAAATTTATAGATAAAAAAGAAAGTGGAATTGGTTTGGCCAAGTTAAAAAAAAAACTACTTAAAACACTGTAAAAGGAAATGTCTAAATAGGGAAGAGAAAAGCAAATAATATGGAATGTACATAGTGCAGGAAAATAATGAAGAATGTTTGGAGTAAAATGGACTCTCTTCCTTTAAACATGTAGGTAGTCCCTAAATATCACACTAGGATAAATTCTCCAAAATGGAATCTAAATAAAATTAATTAACTTCCTGGGATAGGTGAGTTGTTGGTGTGAATAGTGGATTCTAAGGGAGAGGGAACAGGAAGCCACAGTAAAAGGCATGACAGAATGTAAAATGAAATCAGCTTTGCCTGGAGAGTTCCTCATCCCCTTCATTGGTTTTGCATTTGGGGAGAGTGTTTATTAACCTACCTGCCCCCTCAACACATCATAAGTACTTCCCACTTACAACACACAATCAGCAATTTTGGGGAAAATTTATCAACTCCATTGCAGAGGAAACATACATCAATTTCTACACCAATCATTCAAAAAATAAGTCAAGTTCTGCTCTACGCCTCTAGACAACTTTGGAGCACCTGAAAGTTGTGGTTTTACTTGCAATTGTGATATCTTCTGCCATGTAGAGTGTTTTCTCCCCTGCATTTCCTTCAATGGAGTCATTGGTGGACTCTGATGCTATAACATTCAGATGTACCGGGGAACAGAGAAGGGACTGGGGATATGGATCGGATTACCATTCAGGATCCACAGTTATGGTCAGAAGCTCTCCCTGCAGCGGAAGAAAAACCTAAAACCTGAGGACACTTGCTGCCACGCTTTGGGAGGTGTGCCCTTTCCTCAGCAGATGCTGCTTACGCCACACACTTAACTGTGTGCATCACTTAGTGCTGCACATTCCAAAAGCTGAGTGTTCCACACATAATGTTAACATTTGAAAAATAACTGAAAAAAACCTAAGTATTTATATTTTAGTTGATTTGGAAAATACTGAAAAAATATTTATATAGTAATCCACTTTATTTTTGCATGAGCTCATCCGCAAAGACGAAGTTTTCGTTAACAACATCCTCCACTTAGTAAACACATTAAAAATTAGTTTTTGTAGCTGTTGTTTCTGTTCATAGGTGCTTTTTTTAAGGATAGAAATGATTTTTTTTTACATTGAGGTAATGCTCGTTTACAATATTGTTTATGTTTTAGAGGTAAAGAAATTCTCCCTTCATTTTTGGTTGCCACACCATACCCACTATTTACCTATTAAATTATCCTTTGCTAACTTTAAAAACTTGGATGACAGGGCTGTGTCTGCCGAGAACTTGAATTATGCTGTATCTTTATCTAAGAGAAATGAGAATACACATCTTTCTATTACATTAGTGTTTGTGGTGACACTGTTCAAAACAGCCCAACTGGAAACAATCAAAATATCAATCATTAGGTGAATATACTAAAAGCAGTATAATTATGCAATGGATTATTCATAATAAGAGATTCAAACTTCTAATATGTGCAACAAATGGATGAATCTAAAAACCATTATTATGAGTGAAAGAAGCCAGGTACAAAAGTGCGTATTTAAAATTCCACTTATACATGATAAGTGAAACTTACACATGATAAGTAAAGGTGATCACAACAGGGCTTGTCTCTGTGGAAGTGGGAGTACAGCTAACGGGAAAGGACCTGAGAGAAACTTCTGTGTTGAAGGAAGGATTGTTCTATATTTTGACTGACTGTGGTTACATCAGTGAAGTCATTTGTTAAAAGTAAGTGAGTTATGCATCTAAAATGCATGCATTTATTGTCTATAAATTACACTTCAAAAAAAAGTATAAAAATAATTCAATTCCTTAGGAATAATTTAATTTTTATCATCATAGTAATTTTAAGAGTTGCTGTTACTATGAATCAAGAACCTATGGCTACATAACAGGTAAATCCAAGAGAAAAAAGTTGTTCTTGAGAAATTAGAGTGTTGGGCCTCCCCAGTGGCACAGCGGTTGAGCGCTGGGTTGCGAAGCTGCCTGAAGCCTCTGTGGCTCTGGTTCGATCCCGGCTGCCCCCCGGCTACCGGAGGAGGGTCCCGCATGGCGCAGACCTCTCCTGCCGCCCGCTGCTCCCCTCAGCAGTGTACTTAGGTCCTTCTGCCTGCTCTGCTCCCTGCTCTGGCTCTGGTGAATTCTTTCACCCTCCCGCGCTTCTGACTGCTTGTATGAATAAATAAATAAATCTTAAAAAAAAAAAAAGAAAGAAATAAGAGTGTTTTCTGATATTTACAGAAAGACTAAGAACAAGCTAAAAATAATACAATCATAACCAAGAAAAAAATTAGAAATCTGGAATACAGAACACAGGGCAAATAGACAAACGAGGGAAAATTTAGGAGATACTGAAATCCACTTAAAGCGAAGCAACAACTATATAATATGTGATCTAGAAGAGTGGGACACTGAAAATGGGGAGAAAAATAAGTTAAGACATAGCAGAGGGCAATGTCCAGAATCAAGAAAGAAAACAATTTAAAAAGGACTCACTGAATAGTTACCATGATGAATGAAATAAAGGGCAGATCCTTGTGAAGCTCAAAATAAATTTATATTTCAAAAATATTGCATAGAGCAAACAAAGAAACAAAAACACCTTATTTCTAATTGGATGGGATTCAGGCAACTAAAATGAGAAAGAAATAAAACAAAAATAATGTCATACTAAAAATGGAATGGCCAGTGAATGAAAGAGAAGAGAAAGTCTACTGTCCAGGTTTTCCAGGAGAGATAAGATTTTTCCTTGCACGGACAATCAGTTGGCACATTCTTAACAGAAACATCAACATGGCGCCCACAATGCATTAACTATCTTGTAAGTGTAAAGATTAAATTCACATATTACAATGGCAGCACAAAAAGAAAAGTCAGAAGTTCATGCTAAGGTTGGCACTGCATAGTAGTGCAGTTGTACCAGCTTGATCTGCCCATTATATTAAAACATATTCCCACTTGTTTAAACCAAGTTTCCTTAGCATTTCTCTTCTATGAAACAAACACAGATGTAACTGATAATTTTTAACAGATGGTATGATTGTATTTTGCAGGAAATTATGAATCAATAACAAGTGTAGCTATTTGATTTTCACTCAAGACATTGAAAACAATCAGAAACTACTTTGCCTTCTGAATAAACTAATACCTTGAATGAACAATTCATTATCTCAACTGCACATGAGGAAAAATTACTTCTTTTAGGTGTATAAGAAATGATTTGTAGAGGTTTGTGGTGGCTGTAGTTTGGATTGTTTTTTGAAAAACAATTTAGGCATTTGGATTGAGAGTCAAAGATCAACAACATGTAACGCATATGTAGACTAGTCCTTTATTGTAAGTAGCTTACTGCACAATAAACATGTCGGACTTTAATGAAATCATATAGACTTTCTTTTTAACGGGTTTATTGAGATCTATCTTATACACAATTAACTCACATATTTAAAGAGTATAAAGTAGAGTTTGATGAGTTTTGACAAATATTTAGGCCTGTGAAACCATCACCACAGTCAAGACAATTAACAAAGTTAGCACTCCCCAAAATGTCTTCATATTCCCTACCAGTATTGATTTCCTCTCCTCCTCATTTCCTCTCAGTTTCCAGGCAATCACTGATATTCCTTCCCTTATTATTACATTTTCTATAATTTTATGTAAGTTGAATATTTTGGGGGGGCTCTGCCTTCTTTCATATGGCATAATTATTCTGAGATTCACCTGTGTGTATCAATGGCCCATTGCTTTTTTAGTGTTGAGTAGTATTCTACTACATAGATGTACTACAGTTTGTTGATCCTTTTCCTTTTAGACAATACTGGGCTGTTCTTAGTTCAATACTGGAGCTATCATGCTTTAAATATTTTTGAATAAGACCTTATATGAATATTTATTATCTGAGTGAAACAGATGGGTCTATGTAGGTCTACACTTAACATTTGAAGAAGTTGTCTAATTATTTTCCAAAGTGGATGAATGAGTTTACATTGCTACCAACACTGTATGAAAGTCCCAGTTGACTGACATCCTTGGCCCAGTGGTATAGTAAGTTTGCTTAATTTTGGCCATAGCTCATTGTGGCTTTATTTGCAACTCCATAATCACTAGCGATATCAAGCACCTTTTCATGAGCTATTTGAAATCCCTGATTTCTTTGGTAAGTGTCTGTTCAAATATTTTGTTGATTTTAAAAGATAAGAGAGACTGAACAAAAATTTACCACTGACAAACTAAAGGTATATTCTTAAAAGAGAAAATCTATTTGTTTTCAAAAGTTAAGAATTTATGTGGTAAGGTCAAGGGAAATAAAGGCTGGAAACACCAGGAAGGAGCAGATTGTGGGTTATTTCATTATTTAAAGAGAGTTTGTACTATTTCTGTAAATAATAGAGATTATTATCATGGCATAAAATGAGATAGGTAAGTCTGATGACCAAGCATCTCTTTCCTAAAACCTAGTAGAACAGAAAAAGCATAAATTAAAAAAAAATAGGAAAGAAGAATAACAGCAACATTCACAGAAGAGGTGATCAGAGAGATTTTCCAGGAATAACAAGGGTTCTATTCCAAAATCCATCTCCCTTTCCATCAAAACAGCACCAAGGAAGAAAGAAAATGGATATTCTGTAAAAGGATTAAGAAGGAAAATGACTAAACGCAGAGTAACCACAATAGGGTTCAATCATTATATGTATGCCACTTCAAAGTAAGTCTCTCCAACACCATCACAGTTTGGATAGGAGAACATATTGGGATTCAGGCATCATTTTGCCTTTTTTTTCCTATATGAGAGGAAGGTAGTGGAAGAACTATGAATATTGAAAAATAAATGGGAAACTATATGAATTTCACCAAGAGAAAGAAAACACAGTTGTGAGAAAAGGCTAAGGAACAGTCTATAAACAGAGCACCTTTATTGGTTGCAAGTCATTCCTACCAGGCTTGTCTGACTTTGCCCTACTCTGGCTCTGGGCAAAGGCAGGGGAGTGGGGGTGAGAGGGAAACACTGAAGGCTTAGGGTTAAAATAATGATGAAGTAAAGTGTTTGATACTCTCCTGGTGCTGGGGAAACAACAGACTATCTGTGGACTCCTCTGCTCCAACTAGGTAAAACTGTGGTTCCATAGAACTAACACTTCTATAAAGATGCTTTTAAATAAAAGCAAAAATACAAAGGAACTAAATCTGTGCAAAAGAAATTCCTACACTCATTTCGTTTCTGAGCATGGGTCTGATTTTAAAAAGCATGCAGCTTGTTCAGGTAACTACTAAACCTAGGCTCATTTGCTTCTGGATGTTTTCTTTACAAATCGGCTAAAGGTAGATAGCATGCTGATGCCTGTTGTCCAGTCATCTTAATGATGTTCATTGTTTTGAAGTTTTGCACAATTGTCTTGAAGAAATAGTTCTTCTTTCATTTTTACCATACTCTAACTTACCAAGGAAGCACTTGTTTTGATAACTCCTGGCAGCTCTTTTTCCTCCTGGGTGCCATCCAACTGAGCAGTATGGTTGTCACACCTATCACTGGGCTAATGAGAGAAAAGGAAGTCATTTTTAACCAGGATTATCTTTCCCAATGTGATTGTTTATTCAATTATGCATTACACCATAATCTGCAAAATGTACAGACATGTGGAGAGAAAGTCAATGACAACCGTGCAATGATAATAGCATTCATCAATTTGTCCATAATTACACTGATCTTCCATAAATGCCCTGCACTACAATAGAAATTGGTCTGGAAAGCAGACACTGCTAACTCCCTGCCAACATTCACTTTTCTGTTCCTCTTTAACTTATGAATATCATGATTTTGCTTCAAGAAGCTGTGTGTCTAAAAAGAACAAGGGTGATCATGTGATGGTTATGTCCAATGAAACAAAAGTAGAATCCTACCTGCTAGAGAACCCAGGAAAGCTAATGTTTTATTGTTAATGTGCATGGAATTAGCTTCTTCCAGAATGTGGATGTCTGTGAAGCCTAGACATTCTGAAAATAATAAATGTTAGCTCATATGCTTCGTGGAACAAAATGGAAAGATAAAGAAGTTGGTAGATCCATGTTAGGGATACCAGCCACACCAGTCTTAGTTTCTTATTTTTGTAAGGAAAATATTTTTTCTATTGTTTAAGTCATGCAGCTTACTGATGCCACCTTATAATCAATTTTTTATGACTGTAATTTCACAATGATTTATAAATTGATAGCAAGAATAGTTGTTTTTTTAATTACCAAACTGGAAATCTATTCAATTGATTATATCATGAACACATATGACTAAACCAAAAATTTCATCACATTCACTGACTATTGGGAAAACTCTGATTTTCATTTTGAGAGAAGGATATTTGAAGAATATTCTGATCATATTGAGCTATACTGTAAGCTTCTTGAATATGCTCTAAGATTTTAAGCATTTCTGATATAATGGCATCCCCCAAAATAAGATGCAACTATTTCATTCCAGTAATGAAGCAACTTAATTTATGCAAAATTAAGCATACTGGATAGTAATGAAAACACAGTTTTCACCAGACCTTAGAAATTATTATTTTATCTCATTTTTCATGATTTTTAATTTTCCCCCAAATTGTATGTACTATATCAATGAGAAAAATATATCTATATTGAAGTGGAAACAATACTAAAGAAATAGTACAAGAAAATGTAGGCCAAAAGAGAGGACTGAGAGGCACCAAATCCAGTGTCTTAAAATTATAAAACTATTTATAGAAGAAGAGATTCAAAATGGCACTGGAAATCAAGTGTTCTAATAACCAATCAGAAATTGTTAGAAATTCTTGGAAAATAAAAAGTAAAATTTTGTTTCATAATTATGGAGAAGTTAGCAGCCTAAGAACAGCATAAGATAACCTTGCTGATAAAGGACTGAGAACACAAAAGCAAACAGATAGGATCCTCTCTGGTGGCCTAGAGGTTAATTCTCTGCACTATCACCACTATGGTCTGAGTTGGAACCCTGGCCAGGGAACTAACCCACATGGCACATCCAACCTCTCCTGTCTCACCCACTGCTTCCCTTAGCAATGTATTTTAGTAAATCCCCGTTCTGCTTCACACTGTGTCTCTGCTGAATCCTCTCACTGTCCCACATCTCTGGCCTGCAATTATTAAAAACCATTTACTCAATAGAGAAGCCAGTCAGGCCTTCCAACAGCCCCCCTGTATACTGAAAAGCAGGCAGTAGCTATGTATGAATACTAGAAAAGCACTCGAAATGAAGTGAGATATTTTCCTTAGGAAGATCTTCAAGGTACATGGTAAGAGTTGGACCAAAGCATGCCATTCTAGATTTTCACAGAAAACAGGGATAGAAAAATAAAAGGAAAACCTCAGGTTTGTCTTAAACAGAAAGACATGAATTCATTCACCACATTCCCTTTGGCATTAAAGGTGTGTGATGTGTGTGTGTGTGTGTTTGTGTGTATATCTTTGCACATTCATGAATGCGTGCTATTAACTTCCATTCATATACTGTTGACATACTTTTATCAATTTACACAGGATCCAAATTTCTCCCTTTTATTCAAGAAAGAGTCAGGAAAAAAAATACATATAATGACAAATACACAGCAATGGCATATCTTAAGTCATTAATTAATCCAGTTTGCTAATAAATATAAGTCAATCACTAAGGATCATCAGTCATCGGACAAAATCAACATGAAAAAGTCATTCAGGGAAAAAATCAAAAATCCTGAAAAAAAAAAGGACAGTGATAAACATTCTAGAAAAAACAGAAATTTGAGAGAAGGCTTACAGTGATCTGATAACTTTAGAAATTTGAAAGGTTATTGCAATTATAAATCAGGACTAATTATAAGAATAAAGGAGAAATCAGTATAAAAGTAAGAGTTATTAAGAATTAGGACCTCCCAAGTGGCCTATGGGTTAAGTCTCTGTGCTATCACCTTTACGGCCTGAGTTTGATCCCCGACCGGGAGCTAAGGGAGCCAACCCATATATGGCACAGCAGACATCTCCCATCTCACCTGCTGCTCCTCTCAGCAGTGTGTTTCAGTAAATCTACCTGTTCTGCTCCCCACTCTGGTGAATCCTCTCATCCCCACACCTCTGGGCTAAACCCCAGTTCTTTGCAAAAAAAAGAGTTCTTAAAAATTAACAATATCATAGTTGAAATAAAAAAAATGGTGAGGACTGAATTATAATCACTCATGACAAAACTTAGAAGAAGGGCTCTACAAAATAATTTAGACAAAATTTCCTAGTTTACAACAAACAGGACAAAAATATTGAAATATAAGACAAGTTAAGAGACGCAAGAGTTTATTCCAAGCAATGAAAGAGAGGCCAGAAAAAAGAGAAAAGAAATAATGGAAAGAAGCAATGCACTATGGTGGAGGAATATGTGTGTTGTAGCGGTGAAAGTAGTGTGGTAACACAGAGGTGTGAACCTATATCTCTGAACCACATACAGTGTTTTTATGTCAATAAATAAAAAATTATACTATTTTTAAAAAGCATAAATTAAACAAAAATGTCAGTGGTACTCACTAAATACTGCTTTTTTAACAAAAAAAGGCAGGAGCTTATTCTACTACAAACTGTCCAAAATGACCCATATCTAGTGAAGACTTAAAGAAACTGTGGAAGATAAAAATACTAAGATTTGGAAAAACAGATCATTTTTGTGCTTAACAATTTCCATTAAATGAGAGCAAAGTAAGAGAATTGTTATTTTTCATACTTTTTTGCACATTATTTTTCCGCTTATTCAATTAATAAATAAATTTATTTCATTGTGGCATAAAAATAATGCAAAGAGGATGTTCAGAACTGAAATGAAATGAATAGTTTTTCAGAAACAAATTTAAAAGTTGATCATGATGAGAAGAAAGAAGTTTCATATACATGTTTTATAATATATATATTAATATATAAATTTAAATAGTATTTAAAGAGGCATCTGACATGTCAATATCAATACTGTATGAAAGAGTAAACAGATAAATGTCTATAAATTTCTGAAGGAAACCAATTTAGGAACCAAAAGTGTTGGATACTCACAAGTACAGGATTTAAGTTTTTAAAGATGACTATTTAGTAGCCAGAGATACTCCTTTCCATTTTTATTCTTTGTCCATTTTATTCTTTGAGCAAACAATGAAAGGATACAACCAGCTAAGAAGATACAATTTTTCTAAATATATGTGATTATTCGAATTAATACTGTTACTATTCTCTGTAGTCATTCTGTTATTCCAGCTCTCAAGGTCCTGTTTGAGAAAATAGAATGCTTTCTCATTCTATAAATTGATGACCAGTTCAGAGAGTTAGGAGTAAAATTTAAGTGTTTTCTTCCTTCTCTGTGAGAAGTCTACCACACTTACCTCTTGATAAACCCTTAAAAAGGGTAACACCTCCAAGGAACTGAAATAAAAGGGATAGAGGAAAAGGAGAAAAGAAATAACATAAGCCCAGACCAATCATGGGAATCTGCGATGAGGGTGGGAGTGTCAGTGTGGCTTCACACCTAAAATAAGGCTCAGTACTATATGCAATTTGACATCTGGTCAAGTAAGGAGGACCAGGAGTGACCTAATTATGAGTTCAAGTTCTGCTGCTTCAGATAAGGTCCCCCAGACAAATAATTCTCCTTATTTAAGAGACCTGCCATAGCTCTTGCTGATCTCTGAATAAAAGGTTTAGTACATAGAAACCCTTAAATAAGACAATCACATCCTCCCGTGGGAACCAGGAGGCACCTTTCCTTCTTCATACTACAAAGCCTGTCTTCCACAGAGCCTGGTTGTTCCCTCTGTTCCCAAGTGCAGTCCAAATATGGCCCTATGTGGTGACCTCCTTCCCCGCTGTGAGAATACGTGACTAATAAACTGCTATTGATCTCATCTGTCTAGAGTTGTGTGTGCCATGTGTTTGATCATCCTAGCAACTCTAGGGCAGGAATTCCTCCATCACCTGTGGGGTGAAGAGGAGGAACTGAGACATCTGTATAAAAAGGTCAAAGAATTCCAGCACTTGAAAAGACTCCAGTGTCTACATTGATTTCCCTTCTTCTGGCTGAAGGAAGAGGTAATAGCTCCTATGAGGGGGAACAGGATTTGTGTGAGGAACAAATCCTAGGATTCAGTGTCCTCAGAAGTAAGGTGTGTAAGACTCCTGTACTGAGGGAACATCTGACACTAAAGGACATCTGTTTTCAACTCAACAGGAAATACAGACCTCTGACTTGATAGAATTAACATTCTTAGGATAAATATAATGAAATTGGGGGATTAGAGACAAATCTGCCTACGGCCCCAGCTGACCCCACTCTACCTCCAGACCTAAGCTACTAGAAGGGCAACCAGAACCAAACTGCCCACATCCAAAACCTTCAGCAGCATTTTGGAAGTGACCAAGAACTAACCTGTATTAGGGTAAGTACAAGATCCAGACAGAGTGTCTCTTGCAAAGTATACATACACAATGAAAATATAGTACATAGAAATGAACCATCAACACCACCACCACCACCATCATCATG